TTTCACATGTTGTGGCTGCATTTAATTAACACATGTTTTGTCCATATATAGAATTTGCTCAGTTTTTGCTTAACTTTTAGTATAATTATGAGGTAGTACACAGAAAGAGATGCAGTGTCTAGTATACAATTTGGTAAGAGTGGGCTAGCACCTATTTTGAAAGCCTAATCTTAAGACAACTGACAAAGAGACTAAAGAGAGCTTGTAAACTACTGCTCCATCAGTTACTTTCTTAATAAAGGCTGAATTTAACAGTAGCCTAATGTTTGCAATTGTCAAGCTAATTCTTATTTCCACCCCACCCCAGGTATTTAACAACTCCCATGCCAGGCCAAGAAAACATGCTGCGCTACTGGATGATGGTTTGCAAACCCGTTTACAAAAAGATGAAATTTGCTGCAATCCTTCAAATTGCATTTGGAGCATACCTGACCTCAAAAAGTCATGAAATATACATTAAAATGCTCCAGTTGCCCCAGCCTGGAGAAGACCCTAAAGAAATAAAAGATAAAATTTGAATTTATGCAATCATTACTTATTTGGTTTTTCTTTATGTAAATCATCCTGCTAGTGTTTTTGTTTTTTAAAGTAGCTCTTAGCATATTGAGCAAGCCTTGGGACCTAATGGTGAAGGGCCAGTACTTTTGCCTGTGCTTTTTTCCCTCCCTCTTTCTTTCTTTTTGGTATGGGGGATAGGTGGAAAGTGATGAAGGAGACCAGTATACTTAGAAGAAACCTTTGTGGTGACGCTGGACAGAGGTTTCCCTCTTGCTCACAGAATTGTAGAGTTGGAAGGGACCATGAGGATCATCTAGTCCAATCTCCTGCAATGCAGGGAATCCTACCGTACGCAATACCATGGATGTGAGCAGCTGGTGTGTCTTGCTTTTTTAAGAAAGAGTAGCTTCCATTAACGGGTGGGAGAACATTGTATCAAGGCTACCTTCCAGGAAGGTTTTCCAAGGGGTGGCTGACAAAGCAGCAGCCTGCAGAGCATTGAAAAGCTCTGGGGTTTCATTTTTGAGATTGTAAGTTGTTTTAAATACTGTATCATGTTTTATTGTTTTAACCAGCTTGGGCAGCGCTTAAGTAAATAAAGAACAACAACATTCCCTAGAGCTCTTCAATGCCCTGCAGGTTGCTTACCTGACTATATTCCTCTGGAAGGGAAGAAGAGATCTTGATTGTGCATCATTTAACACCTAGTGTACAACAAGCTCCTGCTCACCTCCCTGTTGTACTGTCTTAAGGAATAGCAGATCTGGACAATTTCCATCATGGATGCCACCAGATGCCATGGATGCCTGTGGCAAGTGGTATTTATGACCCCCTACTTGCAGTGGCCCATGTTTGTTCTTGCTGCCAGTTAAATGTTTTAATCTATGTTGCTAAAGTATTTTTTATTCAAGACAGTTCTCAATAAAATGTGTAAGGTAAATATTTCTATTTCTACATTTTTCTCGATTCTCATCACAGCATGGGTTATGTGAATTAAATATCATTTTCTAGAACACAGAACACACGAATCTGAACACATTACTCAAGGCAGAAGGACCACCCCTCTGTTTAAATAAACACATTTTCCATTCTTATAGACCATGCTACTACAAAATTGCTATATATTATATTCAAATGGTTTATAATCAACTTTGAGAATGTGCTCCAGAGAGACACAGAATGTGTATATGTATGGCAGCAGCATCTAAGCTATAAAATGACGTGTCAGTCCTCACCCTGGTTCCAGATGAGTTGCAAACTCGTCTTAATATGCTGGTAAATCTAGCTGGGCAGGGATTTTTCCCTGCTCAATTAATCCAAGAATCCAGCCCCCCAAACAAATGGGAATTAAAGTTTGCATCATCAGATATAAGAATTTGAACTTTACACCCTTGCGTAAACCACCTCGGGTTGAAGAAGCAAACCTGAACATTCCTTCTCATAATTTATGTCTAAATGGACAAATGTTCAGTAGTTCCAGTTACAGATAGGTAGCCGTGTTGGTCTGCCATAGTCAAAATAAAAAAAATTCCTTCCAGTAGCACCTTAAAGACCAACTAAGTTAGTTCTTGGTATGAGCTTTCGTGTGCATGCACACTTCTTCAGATACACAGTAGTGTAAAGGTGTTTGCTTTCATTTTTTAACTGGCATGGAGTATGTCCCCAACAAACCTTTTAGCAATTTTGGGAACAAGACAGATACATCCTATCTACTGTTTTTCAAATTGGATACTAAAAACCAGATAAACCTTACCTAACATTTTGCAAGTAAATGTTTTGATGCAGTCCAAAAATGTCAAACAAAATATTTCTATTTTGGGTTAAATGGTAGCAGATGGAGACAGTATTCATTTTGTTGGATGCCAATGTGAGACATGGCTCTCCACAATTACTTTGATGCCATCTGTCCAGGAAGTTATAGGGTGCAGAATAATGATTTCCCCCCACGATACTACTAAGCTGTTTAAAAGAAAAAATAAACAAGAAAGGTTAATTTGCGGTATTAAGATGCACACACATTTACATCACATTTTCTAAGTGAGATACTAAAAAAAGGCCTTATTTTCCCAAAGGTGGTATAGTGCAGGCCAAAAAAGAATGACCATGTTCAAAAGCTGGTGTATTTGAAGTCTTATTTCCTATCAGCTTCTACCTGATACTAAGACAAGTTCAACCACTGGTAATACAGTAGTACCTCTGGTTACGAACTTAATTCATTCCGGAGGTCCATTCTTAAGCTGAAACCGTTCTTATCCTGAGGCGCGCATTCGCTAATGGGGCCTCCTGCTCCGTTCACATCCTGGGGCAAAGTTCGCAGCTAGGAGCAGCTACTTCCGGGTTAGCAGAGCTCGTAACCATAGGTACCACTTTACTAGATAAAGTTTGAGCTACACTGGTACCTCTGATTGCACACAGAACGGCAAAAACCAGAAAAATACAGGTTTGCCGCGTGCGTAACCCAAAGGGTACACAACCAGAGGTGTGCATATCCAGAGGTACCACTGTACAATGGTACCTCCGGTTACGAATGGGATCGGTTACAGAGGCCCGGCTGTATCCCAAAAATTTCATAACCGAGGACCGCGTCTGTGCACGTGTGAGCAGCAAACCCACTTCCAGGTCTGCTGCGTTTGCAACCCGAAGTTTACGTTACCCAAAGGTAACATAACCCGAGGGTCCACTGTATTTCCTTCTTGGAAAATCAGCTTTGCATGCAGGAATTCCTAGCTTCACTTTTCAGCATCTCAATGAAGGAATGTGAACAATCCAGGTCTGAAACCCTGTCTGGCAATGTTGACAATCCTTAGCTAGATGGACCAAAGGCCTCAGTCAGTGTAAGTCACTTTCCTGTGTCCCATAAACTGATTCAGCACATTAGGCTGAATTGTAATTTATCATTTAAGCAATACCTAGTTGTTTAAGTGCTTTATTCATTCAACATTCCAAACAAGGTGACGACATTTTCTGACTCAGGTACATGCAACATCTGTGCAACTCACTAGGTCACACCTATCTGGCCAGAAGGCTCTAACTGAAGGCACCACTAGTGGTGAAATTATTACTTTTTATAGTAAGGGTCATGCCAGATAATCATTTTAACACTTCCCCTCATGACAAGGGGAATTATTAAGATTTCAATACTTTCCTTCAGCAGTCTTAAAAATTTAGTTATACAGTATCCAAGAACATATTTAAAAACAGTCTTAAACTCAAGGTGTTTACAGACCCAATCACTGCTGTTTTGCTTTAAGCTGGACGTAGAATGGCAACTGTTTCCAGAGTCTCATATATATATATACACACACACACACACACACACACACACACACATATATATATATATATATATATCACATATGTAGATATAGATATATAAATACATTCTATAATGGTAATGAATAGGAGGATGCTCCATTGCTGTCTGGAAAGTTAATTCGTAGATAGGAGCCACTGATATCTAGGAGGGAGATGGCTGGAGCAAAGTCTGTTCAGGCCCTCACCAGTCTACATTAAAGAACATACTCTAAACAGAAAACTTGAGGACGTTTTGCTTATGCCACCAATAGCTCCTTGGAGAAAAGGTGGATGAGTAGATGAGCCTATTGAACTTTATGGCAGAGCACCAATTGGGCCTTACACTAGTCTTGTTGCAAACAAAATTATTTTATCACCGACTTGCTCTCAATAATTTATTCTTGGAAAAAGAGGACAGCCAGCAAAAGCTGGTTAACCAGCTCCCAGTGCAATCGTAACATGTTCCCAGCACAGCAATGCATAATTTTTTAACAGCCAACATTAACGTGAAAATAGCCTTAAGTGCTGAATAGCAAACAGTAAGCAATCTAAAGCAGCTTACTTTTTCCTGTTCAAATGTTACTAATGCTTTCCTAATCTATTATTGTTCGCACACACATAATGGTAAAACAGGTGGTTTTGACTGTATTTTACTATACATTATTATACTTATTTGTTTATGAAAGTACATAACACCCTACTGCGAAACTTCAGGGTCGTCACAACATTAAAATATTTTAAAGCAATCATGGCTACTCAAGGGATATTTTAAAGAACTGTGTAGGTTTGCTGACATAAGTATTTAAAAGACTCTTGGAAAGCACAAAGTGAGGATGCTTTTTGGACACAATTATCTTATATGTGCAGAGCTAAATGTAATATGACCTCTTAATGACCTGAGCAAGAGGATGTGAATAAAATACATGGTAAGTGATTTTCTACATTACTGCAAACTCTGGTTAATAACCCTAAATCAGCAACTCTTAACATAGCCAGTGTATCACTGGTCATATATAGAAAATGCTCTGAACAGCAGCATTAATCCAACCCCAACTACAGCAAGAAATGAGCTGCATAAACCACAATGCTGCTTTGATATCACACCAACTATTTTCCAACTATGTCACACCAGTCAACATTTAAAAAGCCATTCAATGAAATTAAAATTTTATAACATAAGATTAAAAAAAATCCTTTGAGCCTGTAACTGGAAGATCAACACATTTTTTTTATTAGGACACTGTGTTCTCATAGGTATGACACAACTAGTTACACAGAAACATTCACACATATTTCAAGTACTATTATTCAAGGCTTCAATTTCAAAAAAATATTCAACAATACTCAACCGATTAGCAAGAAAAAAAGGTTTGCAATTTTATTTGGCTTCAACATGCTTCAATAGGCACTAAAATCCCTGCAGTAATATTTTTGAGATTTTTGCTAAGCAAGTGTGTCATTTGCCTTGTTGAAAAACAAGCAGCCACTCCCTTTGTATACAGATGCAACAGCTTATTCTTCAAGGGGCAATGACACACAAGGTGGATCAACTACCCAGAATGTTTTTTATCTAACAAAGTATTTCAATAATACAAAATTAAAAGAGAGAATGTCTGCTTTCACAGAAATACCACATTAACAAAAATGTCTATTGTGAAAAGCAATTGTAAAAATGCATCAACTTCAGAAACTATGCAACACAGTGACAGCCAATTGTGGCCTGTCAACTGGAAAGGTACTAGCAACAAAAAGGAGGGGATGTTGACCCTAGCTTTTGAAAAACAACAGCACTAGGTCATACGGAGCATTAATGGGACTGTATATAATGTACTGCTTCCATTATAAATGCAGAATGCTGAATAAGAGTATAATTTAAAATTGATTAGTATACAATTTCAGGTGTTATGCTCCCATGCCATCAAGCATGGGTTATGAATAGCTAGAGGACTTTCCAAGATTGCACTCATTTACAGCAACTGGTATATGGGGACTAACCCAAGACATGTACCAGTATATAGATTTGTCCTGTGTTGGGCTGCAATTTCCCCCAGAAAAGGGATGTCAGCCACTCTGTATAGTTCAGAGATAGGCAGATAAGAAATACACCTGCACTACAAATATAACCCAAAACATGAACAGCCATATAAATGAATTTATAGTTCAGGCGAGGCTCATGGTCTCTGCTATGCCGAAAGGATGTACTTCAAATAATTTAGACAATTGACTGAGAATAAGGAGGAAATTGATGTAGGAGAACAAGTGCTTTTTCACACCGTTACTTTTCACATTAGTATTATACTCATTTTCTTGATAGACTGTATTATTCAAAACATTCACATAATTTTGCAGTGTTGTTTTAAAGTAAAATGCTGCAAAAGCCCTGTTACCTTTCCCCCTTTTTAATCATACTACCTTTTAAAATAAAGCAGGAAGTGTGCCAGCAGCTGGTCCCGTCTCTTCTGCCCCATGACAGCTGTATCCACTTCAGCATAAAGAAAAACAAGGATGCTAAATACACATATACTTTATTAAACAGTGAGGTTTCACAAAGAATCGTATCTCCTTGTACTCAAATTAACTCCTGATTCTGATAACTGATTATGTGTTTAACAGGAAGTATTCCACACAAATACCAAGAGAACAAAAATAATATGGAGAAGCCTCCTTTAGGAGGCATACCTTTTCCAAATTTAACATTCTTTGTGGAACCCCACTTTACATTTTCACACCCCTTATTTCCCCAATTTACAGAAATTAAAGTATTAACCATTTTAATACAGAAAAAGTTGAAGGCGTTTGACAACAAAAACTTTTCCTCAACCCTAGACATGGACAGTTGCAGGAACACTATGAAGATGAACATTTGTTCACCTATTTTTTCTCTCCTTAGGAACACATCAGATTGATATGCCAATTTCATTTTGCTACAACAATTTAAGAGACCTGTATGTGCCTTAATCATGAAGACTAATTCCACTGGGCTTTGATAGAAGACTTAATTTTTTGGAATAAATAAGTGTTTAGTAATATTCATGCAGTGCAGTCTTCAAACTGTACGTAACAGTGCAAAGGGTCAGTATGGTTGAGCACTCCTGCTTGCAAAATTACTGTTCTCATTTACATTCTTAATTAGCAAGCTAGAAAGTACCCAACTATGTCAGGATCTTGGTACTTTTATTTGGACATGTCCTACCCCTAGCCAACATGGGAAGATAATAGTGAGGAGTTTGGGAGTTTAAGCATAGATGCAATAGTAAGAAGCAGCCCTTCTCAACCTTGAGTTCCCGATGTTGGACTACCACTCCCATCATCCCTATCTGCTGCCCCTGCTGGCTATGGATGATGGGAGTTGCAGTCCAACAAGTGGGAACCCAAGGTTGGGAAAGGCTGAGTTAGAGCCTTATTTCACTGGTGAAATGCAACATCAAAGATGAATATATGGGGCTTATTTGTACCTTAAAAAGTTCATCTTCACCATCTTAATTAGTAGACTGGTTTTCATCCCCCTTTCTCCACATTCAAATGTATGGCCAAACATACATTTAAGCAGCACCTGTTTTTGAAAACTTCACCTACTCTGTAAAAACTCTGCATAAAATAACATCTGTCCTGATAAAGCCTTTCAAAAAATAATGAATGACAGGAAAAGGCAATGCAGCTTGACTAACCATTAAATTGCAAGTTGCTCAATCAGGATCAACTGATTCTACAAAATGTCTCCAGGGCTTCTGAACTCTTCTAAAGACTGGTCCAGACCAAGTAATAAGAAACCCCAGAGTAAGCATCAATGCAAAGTTGTCTGATACCACATTATGGGAATATAGGGATCCTTACCAGGTTGCGAGGTGGAAAGCGACTGTTCTTTTAACCCCTACACAACGGAGCCTGGCAGGGCAACCACCTAAAAGAGAAACTGTCAGAGAAGTTTAATAGTAATGTATAACAGATGCGATATAATTTCACATGCATGTTTTAAACTACCTGCTGCACGGTATTACTATTCTGCTCTTAAGTCTGTCCAGTGAGGAGGTCAACGTTTACAATTCCCAGAAATGCAGGCTAGATTTTTATCTGCCAGACAGAGCATTATTTTTACTGGCAACCAACACCAGGTGCCGCCATTTCAGGCAATCATTTTTTGTCCTTTTTTTTTTTAACAAAACCACCTGGCAGTCTCGAACTGTGCCATCTGCGTGCCATTGTGAGAGATGTCCTGACCATTGTGTGCCTTAAAAACGGGTCCTCTGTTTACAACACGGCCAAACAGGCACCCCGGCATCGATCCGTCCTGTTCACACGCACGCGAAGGTCTGCGCTTTTTTTTTTTTTTAACTCTCTGCTACGGAAGGGAAGGAAGGAACATGCCAGTTTTCTGACTATACCCCCCGTTTGTGCGCTGCGCGTTTATGTCTGCTTGCTGCGTCTTGCTTTCCTCCCTCTCTCTTCCGCTCTGTCCTCTGACTGCCTCCTCCACTATAAAGCACACACCCCCTGGGCGATCGCGGGCAGGAACCCCGAGACAAAAAAAATGTTATGTTCTGCGTAGTTAGGAGCGAAGAAGAAGCGGAATACTTGACCCTACATTTTGGAGGCGAAGGTAGAGTAGGAGTAGGAGTCGGCGGTGGAGGGAGGCGAGGCGGCCGCCGCCGCCAAAGCAGAGCCCACCGCCGCCCGCCGGGCGCAAGCCGAGCAGAACTCCACCGAAACCTGGTCGCGATCCACGTGCAGGCAGATGCCGCCGGCGCTGGGGGAAGCCGGCCTCTTGCGCTCGCCTCCCTCGGGCACCACCGGCAGGGCGTAGTCGTGGTCGCCGCTGGCCTCGTAGGCCGGCCTGGCCTCCAGCACGGCCGCCGCCGCCGCCCCGTCGTCGACCAGGCCGCTGCTGCTGATGCGGAGCCCCACTCTGCCGTCGCCGGCCAAGCGGCTGAGGAGCCTCCCCAGGGCGCTCTGGTTGGCCAGCACGGCGCGCAGGTAGCTGGTCTCCCTCTCCAGGTCGCGCAGGCGGCGGCACAGGCCGCGGTTGCGGTCGCGGAGGCCGCGGTTCTCGGCCGCCAGGCCTTGCAGGCGGCTCTCCAGGCCCATCACGTACTGCTTCTTCCGCTGGCGGTTCAGGCGGGCCGCGGCCGCGGCCTTCAGGCGGCTGCTCCCCGCTGGCCGCGCGGGGCGGCGGCCTTGCTGCTGCGGCCTCTGCTGCTGCTGCTTCGGCTGTTCCTCCTCCTCCTCAGTCTCCGCGCAGGCCCGCTCCGGGCTCGCCAACCAGCCCGGCCGGTTCTCGGTCGCCACCACCGCCGCCTCCAGCCAGTCGTCGAGCTCCAGCTCCAGGCCCGCCGGGAAGAGCAGCTCGGCGCCACCCGCCTCCTCGAGGGAAGAGGAATCGTCGCTGTCCTCGCGGCCCGGCGGCGCGGCTTCGTCGCCCGCCTCGGCCCGGCTGCCGCTCCTGGCGAGAGGCGGCCCTTTGCTCGGGGATGGGCAGGCCGACGAACTGGCCAGCAGCTGGGCCAGGCTGTGGCGCATAATGGCGGCGGCGGGCGGGCGGGCAGGCCCGAGATACCGCCGCAGCCGCCGCCGCCTCAGTCAGCTGGGCCCGCCTGGGCTGCTGCGTCTCCGCCTCAGCGGGAAAGCGCGGCTGCTTCTTCCCCCGCTCGCCTTCTGCGCCTCTGAGGGAAAATGAGGAAGCAAGCCCGCCTCGCGACTCGGCCGGGCCGTTAATGGCGGAGGGGGCGGGCCCGGGCGATTGGCGCCTGCGCACTGGCACGAAGGCGCTCCCTCGAGGGGCAGAAAATGGCGGAGGCGGCACCTTCCTCCTGCCCCCCCCTCGTTTACCTCAGAGCGGGAGCTTTAAAGGCGAGGGGATTCCGCACAGAGCTGGGTCTTGTAAATGACGGACCTTGTTTATGCTCGCTTGTATTTAGCCATTATTATTATTATTATTATTATTATTAGTTTATACCTCGCTGTATAGGGCGATATAGAAGGGACCTCTGACCATTAGGTCCAGTCGTGACCGACTCTGGGGTTGCGGCGCTCATCTCGCTCTATGGGCCGAGGGAGCCGGTGTTTGTCCGCAGACAACTTCCAGGTCACGTGGCCAGCATGACTAAGCCGCTTCTGGCGAACCAGAGCAGCGCACGGAAACGCCATTTACCTTCACACCGGAGAGGTACCTATTTATCTACTTGCACTTTGAGGTGCTTTAGAACTGCTAGGTTGGCAGGAGCAGGGACCGAGCAACAAGAGCTCACCCCGTCATGGGGATTCGAACCGCCGACCTTCTGATCGGCGAGTCCTAGGCTCTGTGGTTTAACCCACAGCGCCACCTGTGTCCCTAGGGCGATATATAAAGTCTAATAATAATAATAATAATAATAATTTATTTTTATTTTGTACCCCTCCTTCGCCTACCCTCCACGGGACTCAGTTTTTTCATTTATTTATTGCATTTCTGCATGGCAACATTTCCTTTCAAGGAGCTCTAGGTGGCATGCAGATACCCTTTCACATTTCTCCTGTGAAAAAAAGAGACATCCTATTCTTCTATTATTACTATTATTATTACTACTACTACTATTTATAGGGCTGCCAAACGTCCAGAATTTTCCAGGCATTGCCAGAAAACTGTGTCCAGATTGGGGGGGTGCAGGATAATAACCATGGAATGTCAGGTACAATCCAGATGTATGGCAACCCATATCGGAAGTCTAGATTTTGGCGAATTTCCTTAAAAATAGCTGGAAAACTATTTTTTTTTTTCCTTTTTTTGGTTTTGCAAAGAAAGAAAAGAAAGAAAAGAAACCTCAACTACAACTTTGGCAAAAAAACCCACAACTCAACAACAAAAAAAAGCTCAATTACCAATTTATATTTATATACCTGTTGCTTGTAATCATTTGCTTCTTGGTCCTTACCAGTTCCATCCAGTAGTATGCCCAATTGATGCCACTGCAATTATTATTTTTATTAATTATTATATTTATTAGTCGCTTCTTTTTGCCATGGCAACTGGAAAAAAATACATCCAAAAAACACATATCTCAATCTCAGCAACGTAAGAATGCTTGCCTTCCTACTCTAAACAAAATTATCTTAAAACTGGTATCTAAAATAGGGGGGGGGAATGATCTGGTAAAAGATTATTTTATTTTCTCAAAGGCTGTAGGTCTGTTAGGAGCAAAGCTGACAGCAAAGGCTTACGCTATGAAATGTCGGAGTTTGGTATTTAATTCTTTCTCTTTCGTAAGCAACTCAGTGCTGTGCTTCTTGTAGGCTTCAAAATGCATCCGGAGCTCAGTGTAGGCTTGCTGGGTGCCATCCAGCCGCCTCCGCAGGTCTCGCACCCGGAGGTTGCAGTCCACTGCTACAGCCTCCGTCTCAAAGCGCAGCTCCGCCGCCTGCTTGGCTTTCTCCAGCTCTTCCGCCTTCTTCTCCAGCTCCGCAATCTCCCTTTGCTTGTCCTGCAGCACCTTGCCTCTGTCCATCGCCAGGTTTAGCAGCTCCTCCTTCTCCTTGGTCAGCTTCTCCACCTTGGCTTGCAAGGTGCAGTCCACCTCTCTTAGCTTCTTTTCCGCTTGCTGCAGTTCCTCCGTGACGTGGCTGTGTTTCTCTTCCAGGATACCCAGCCGGCTTCTCAGCGACTTGATTTCCTCAGCCTTAGATTTGGCTTCCTGCTGGTGGGCTTCCAAAAGTTCCTTCTCTCGCTCTTGGGCGTGGCGGCTGTCCTGTTCGTAACGTTCCTTTAAGGACTTGGTTTCACCCGAGAGTTTCTTAAGCTCAGAAGTGAGCTGGGCCACTTCGGCCTCTTTCTCTTCCAAAGCCTGGCAGAAGAGGTTCTGGTTCTCCACCCGCAAGCGGTGGTTCTCTTCCCTCAGCTGCAGGTTTTGCCTCTTGTGCTCGTCCTTGAAGTGGATCATGTCCTCGTGGTTGGCAGCCAGATCCATGAAACGCTCTTCCAGCTGCTGCACGCGCCGCGTCTGGTTCTCCAGCCGCATAGCATCCGCCATCCTCTGTTCCTCCAGGTCCATGTTGATCTCCTCCAGGGCCTTGCAGCGCAAGAGCTGCTCGTCCGCTCGCTTCTTGAGGATGCAGATCAGCTGGGACTGCTCATGGAGCCGTGAGCGGAGCATGGCTTTCTCCCCCTTCTCCCCGTCGGAGAGACCTTGGAGTTTCTCCAAGGTCTCAAAGGGCTCTCCCATGCTCCAGTCTACATCATCATCATCTTCTTCTACCTCCTTTGGTACCTTGGGAAAGGCCATTCCCGGACTCTTCCCATCCTGAGGCATGTTGAGGAACTGCTGCCTCTTCTCAGTGCTGCCGAGTTGTGCAGCGCTTCCCCCTCAAGTAGCATTCAAAATTTCTGCTGCTGGCCCGAAAGGCAGTTGGTGCAAACGTTCCAAGAATCCCGTGATGTCATAAGCCAAGAACTGCTGGGCTTTCTAGAACCAGCGGGCTTTGCAGGGGTCTCCTGACCTTGTTGCATTCCTTCTGCACTGCAGGTGGGGAACGCAGATCTGCAAGGGAGCAGGGAATCGATGCAACACACCAGCCTGGCCAGGAACGAAAGCCACCACACTAAATCGGTGCTTAGTTTCCTAATCGAAGATAAACAGTATGAGAGCTTCACCTCTTATTTAATTCCCCACCCCCGTGCCAAAAAAAAGATGTATTCTCTGTTAAATCCTAAGTGACTCTTAGCTTCATTCTTCCCTTTTCCTGAGTTAGACTTAGATAGGGCCATTGAAGTCAATGGTCTTCCTGGTAGCAGCAACACAGGAATTCTCCTTCCCTTGGGAAGTCCAACTGGATCCTTATGTCTGGGCGTTAAGATGAGCAATGAAGGCATTCCTGTTTCACCATTCAGTGTTCATCACTGGCTGCATGCACACCATATATTTAAAGAATGTGGTTTACTCCAAATAATGTTGGGAACTGTAGTTTTTTTTTTAAATGGTGCTGGGAATTGTAGCTCTGTGAAAAATAAACAAAAATTCACAGGATTCTTTGGGGGGAGCCATGTATGGTGTGTGTACACTGCCTTAATTATTCTTCTACCCTAACAGTTTCTGGTGCTGATGGCACTTGTTTCTTTCGGCTCTCTGTTACGTGTGTTGTTGCTGAGATTTTATTGGAAAATGTATTTTAGAATTGTTGTAAGATGCCTTAAACCCTTGTTGTTGAAAGACGAGATAGAATTATTAAAGGTAAAGGTAAAGGTACCCCTGCCCGTACGGGCCAGTCTTGCCAGACTCTAGGGTTGTGCGCTCATCTCACTCTATAGGCCGGGAGCCAGCGCTGTCCGCAGACACTTCCGGGTCACGTGGCCAGCGTGACAAGCTGCATCTGGCGAGCCAGCGCAGCACACGGAACGCCGTTTACCTTCCCGCTGGTAAGCGGTCCCTATTTATCTACTTGCACCCGAAGGTGCTTTCGAACTGCTAGGTTGGCAGGTGCTGGGACCGAACGACGGGAGCGCACCCCGCTGCGGGGATTCGAACCGCCGACCTTTTGATCGGCAAGTCCTAGGCGCTGAGGCTTTAACCCACAGCGCCACCTGTGTCCCAGAATTATTACTTTTTAAAAAAAATTAATGTGCATATGATTCGGCTATAAATGCATTATACTGACACTTTGCCATATACACTGATAAACCTATACTATAGTTCTATACATTGTTTCATATAACCTTGTACTAAAGTTTCTATAGAAGTACGGTATTTCAGCAGCAGCCTAGTGATTCATTCATAGAGCCCCAGCTACAACAACACATTTGCAGCTGAATATTTTATTTAAGGAGATAATGAACAGCAATCTATCTGCCTAGTTCAGCAGTCCACAACAATATCATTGTGTAATTAGATTGTCACCTAATTACTGTGTAGGCGGTTCCTTTAAAAGCAAAGCCTGATTTCCATTTGGGTGGGGTTTGACAAAAGAATGTTAACTGCCCTTAATGGTGCAGCGGATGTCTTTTTACAGGAGTTCATTGTTAAAAGATGGGTTTGTTGATGCAGATCTCTTTTGAATGTGTTTGGAAAGAAAAAATAACCACCACCCAGAATTTGGAGAGGTGCCTGTGAGAGAGAGGTGTGGGGGCCGTATCAAAATAAATAATTTTGATGTGAGGCAGGTGGTTTAAAAAAACAACAACAAGAAGCAGAGAGTGGGAATAAATGGACAGTTCCCCCAATGGGAGGAATGTTGAAAGTGGAGTCCTCCCAAGGATTGGTATTAAGACCTGTTCATAAATGATCGAGTTATGTGAGAGTGCTGTTGTGCTCAAGTCCTACTTGCAGACACCTCTTTGACCTTTGTGAGAATAGGATGCTGGACTATATGGGCCTTTGGCTCAATCTAGCAGGCTGTATCTTGGGGAGCAGTGTGCCTCTTTTCTGAGAGCTGCCTGGTAGCAATGTGTGTACAGTGGTACCTCGGGTTACATACACTTCAGGTTACATACGCTTCAGGTTACAGACTCCGCTAGCCCAGAAATAGTACCTCGGGTTAAGAACTTTGGTTCAGGATGAGAACAGAAATCGTGCTCCAGTGGCAGCAGGAGGCCCCATTAGCTAAAGTGGTGCTTCAGGTTAAGAACAGTTTCAGGTTAAGAGCGGACCTCTGGAACGAATTAAGTACTTAACCCGAGGTACCACTGTACTAGATTCAGGTAGGTAGCCATGTTGGTTTGACACAGTCAAAATAAATAAATAAAATGTCCAGTAGCACCTTAGAGACCAACTAAGTTTGTTCTGGGTATAAGCTTTCATGTGCACACACACTTCTTCAGATTCTTCTATTCAGAATTCATATCTGAAGAAGTGTGCATGCACATGAAAGCTTATACCCAGAACAAACTTAGTTGGTCTCTAAGGTGCTACTGGACTTTTTTTTTTTATGTGTATACTGTTTGCCTTCATCACAAGAACATAGGAAGCTGCCTCATTCCAAGTCATACTATTGGTCCCTCTAGCTCAGTATTGTCTACACCAGGGGTTGTCAACCTGGTCCCTACCGCCCAGTTTCAGGATTCTAGATGGGCGGTAGGGGGTTCTACGGCACAAGCTGAATCCTCCTTCCATCAAGCACTGGTGGGCAGTAAGGACCTTTTACCATCAAGAAAGATGCATTAGTGGGTAGTAGGCATAAAAAGGTTGACCAGACCTGGTCTACACTCTTCCACTTATGCTCTACTTGTGTATATCTGCAAGTAAACCAAATACTACAATATGGCATTCGCTTCCAGTTCTCTCTTCCCCAAAGGAAGATAAGCCCTGATAACACTGTTCCTACTAGTTCTCACTGCTCGGGCAAGTGGGGAATGCCTCAGATTATCATTTATTATAAAGGCATTCATATATGTGATTCTTTATACTGTGCATAAGCAGAAGAGCAGAATTCCACCTGACCTGAGAAATTTACTATATTATGCCTAGAGTCAATGGACAGCTTTAGGATGGGTATTGGGAGCTAGCACAATTGAATGTACTTGTTTTTAATTTTAGCTATGTTGATGGTTAAAGGGTTAAGACCAAAAACACTTTATGGAAGGGATATGGTTTGAACTGGGAATTAAAAGAATAGAGAGAGAAGGGAGGTACTACGTAAAAATTGAATTATGTGGCTCTTTTTCTCTCCTGATAACTTATTTTACCCACACTATAGTCTTATGAGAAATCCCAATGCTTGCTAGAATTCCAATTTTTAATCACATGCATGCTGGGAGCAGATATGTATGCTGTCCAATTAGCACAATTCATAATTATTATATTGGGTGGGGGAGTGTGTTGTTCTTATCACAGCTCTGTCTATGCTTGTTTGTTAATCAGCAGAGCCTCTGAGTACGTATTGAATAATGTTTCAAGGCTAAACAATGTAATGGTAAAAAGGCAAAGCATAACTAATGAACATACTACTCTTTCCTAAAAATGGTCAAAGGAACTCTGTTTTGGGAACAGACTCCCACAACACCAGAGTGGTATCAGATCCCTGAAGCTGGATTGGGTTGAATTGAGGGATTAAAGAATAATCTAGCCTGAGAGAAAATAAAGATTTGACTATGAAGGTTTTCTTACTCTCTTAACTGCACAATTCTGTACATATCTACTCAGAAGTAAGCCCCATTGAGTTCAGTGGAGCTTACTCCTAGGTAAACAGGAGTGCACAAGATTACAACCTATAAAATAAGTTGCAATAAGTTCAGTGCTCTTATAAGGAAAACAAATTTGTACATCATAATTCTTCCAGTTGTTGTTACAACATTCAGAAAAGGGCATCCAATTTCATTTCAACAGATATTGGCGTCATCCTGTTTCTTTTATACTCATACGTAACTGTCTGGTTTTGCCATTTTAAAATAGCGTTTATAAATATTTTTTTAAAAAAAGTTAATCAAAGAGCCATAAAATGTTTCCTTACCAGGCCTTTATTCTTTTACTATCTTGGTCTGACAGCCTTGTTGAGTTTGCATCTCCATGGCAATAGGATTGAAGCAGACTCCTTGCCAAGTGTACAGCGAGGCCAAACAAGAAAGAATGCATCCTGGAAGCTTAACAAGCTCTGGAAAGCACGTTCCTTGGCTGTGACCCTCTGCGATAGATGTCTCCTTCCTTTCCCTCCCAAAGGAAGCCTGAAAATGACCAGCAGCTCACCACTATTACTGCCAACTCTGAAATAATATCGTGTCCCTGAGAATCAAATGAAGAAATAAAAGGTACCTATGTTCTTAAAAACCAGGCTGTTAAAAAAAAAGCAGTAACTTGCCAATGAGGAAAAGAATCAGAATACAGTGGTACCTCGGGTTACATATGCTTCAGGTTACATATGCTTCAGGTTACAGACTCCGCTAACCCAGAAATAGTACTTCAGGTTAAGAACTTTGCTTCAGGATGAGAACAGAAATCGTGCCCCGGTGGCACGGCAGCAGCAGGAGGCCCCATTAGCTAAAGTGGTGCTTCAGGTTAAGAACAGTTTCAGGTTAAGTACGGACCTCCGGAACGAATTAAGTACTTAACCCGAGGTACCACTGTATGGGCAAGACGAGCTTGCATAATGGGGCTATCAGTACTTTCCTAGCTATGTTTACTCAAAGTTCTCTTGCAGTTTCTGACATCAAGTTATTCGGCTTTCTCTTCAGTTCCACATCATTAGGCCAGATAACTCTTCCCACCAGCAGCTGCACAACAGACCAGTATCCATGGTAAGGTAGTACAAACTGATGCTTAGATGTTCTGGGTTAACCAGAAAGTAAGCTCAGGTACGCTCAGGTGTTTAGCGAACCTCTATCAGGCTGAACCAGATATATCCAAGAATAACTGAAAGTGGGGGGGGGGGGAGTTTTGTATTTGACTTCTTTTTCAGAACAGAACGCAACTGGAAAGCGAATGTACCACACACAAAAGAAGCACAAAGAGCGAATGCACCACGCTTTGTCTCTCTTGCAATTTCAACACTTGCTCATCTGAGCATATACATAGTTTCTAACAGACTTTTTGAGTTTAGAAACCATGAACAAATAAAGTTCCAAATCTTGCAAAATTCAATTACAATGCATAAAAGTGTTTGCTCCTGTTTTAAGTATCGCTTCCTGCTTTGCCCAAATGGTGGCACTAGAGAACGTTTTAAAAGCCCTGATGCATTGAAAAAGCCAGCAGCACATTTTGCAATCGAGGTGTTTGTTTGTTTGTTTGTTTGATGTCTCACTTTAGCTTCACCAATAGTAAAAGCTAGTAAAACGATAAGAGTGATGATGAGCCCTGTTTGAACGATGTGAACAGGGTCTTGCTTACTAAAAAGGGCGAGGGGGAAGAAGAGAATCTGCAATTTCAAGGTCGTTAGTAAGTTGAACAATCTGTAAAAGTGTTCCATCTTTGCAGCTACTGTATTTAGAGCTCTTCAGTTCTAATAACTTGTGCAATGTGGACATAACAGAAGCTGGAACTACAGTTTTATAGAAGAGATAGGACTGCCCCACTCAGCCCCAAGCTTCCTTCTCTTTTTCCCCCTGTCATGTTTAGGAATGCCCCAACCCTCACCAGCAGAGACCAATAGTTTAGATCAGGCATGGCCAAACTTGGCCCTTCAGCTGTTTTGGGACTACAACTCCCATCATCCCTAGCTAACAGAACCAGTGGGCAGGGATGATGGGAATTGTAGTCCCAAAACAGCTGTAGATGCTTCTTTCTGCCGGATGCTGTCATGTCACATACTGAGTAATCATTAGGCCTTAGAGGAGGGAGGGAAGCAAGACACAGGGGTGGCTGTTCTTCAGTGAAACACAGATGCAATGTCTAGTTCCAGCCTCATACACAAGAGATTGAATCCCACACCGATGCTTACCATTAACATCCATGTTTGCAACCGCTCATTACAGTTTCCACCAATTCGAACAATAAAAGGCTGTTTTTGAAAGGAAGATGGGATACATGCAACAATTAGATTCAGCTTTACGCACAATAGCACCATGTTGGCAGGTGCATTCACTTGTTCACTTTGGGGACTGTGGACCAGTGAAAGACAGTAAATGCATGCTGAAATTTAGTGAAATCGCCAACTTCCCCCCTCCCCCCATATGTTATTCAAGGCGGCCACAGAAGGCAACAGTACACAATATTTTAAATATATATATTTTACAGTTTTAATTCATCTTTAATAAAGTTTAATTTTTAATAACAGTACCTGAGGGCAGGAAGGAGTTGACATGCATTATCAAAGCAGCATTTAGTAAAATAGTTTAAAATTGTATTGCAGACACATATGCCCTCTGATGAAATTACAAATGAATATATCAGCCAATGTGCACCCCCCACACCCCAAGTTCCTCTCTATTTTTGCCTGGCTCTTCTTTCCACCCAAACGCCAGCAAGCCGTACAAACAGGAAGCATCCAAAAGGTGTATCATCCTATTTCGGTGTTTTTGCCATCATCAGCATCCTGAGTGGCAGCGTATCTTCAACCCAGGTGTTTGGAGAATCAATCATTCGTTCCCATAAGTTGCTTTCATCTGTTGTAGAGTCCATCCAGTCTACTGGAGTACCGTAGCTTTTACCTAAAGAAGTGGGGTTTTTTAAAAAAACAACCATATTGAATTAGCATTGCCTTTTATCTGTCATTTACACAACAGTAACTGCAAAGTGCTATAAGCTACCTCCCTTAAGCAGTACGCTCTGGGTTACAACCAGGAGAAACCTTGGACTAATCTATACTGGTGAGTTATAATGTTATAAATGCGTTATAAAAATGTGACACCAAAGGGGCGATGTACAGAGGTCAATGGAAAATTGCATTGAGAGCTATATAATGTTTTTTCTTAGCTTTTTTTGTGTGTGTTTTTTAAGATCAGTGCAGATCCAGCACTTGTTGCACAAGCAGAAATCCTTACATGGGGCTCGTGAGGTGAATCCTGCCCAATATTTCAAGAGCACTTTGTTTCAAAGCCATTGGGTCATAGTATCATATAATTGTATGTATATAGTATCATATAATTGTAGCCATATAATTCAAAGCCATTGGGTCATAGTATCATATAATTGTAGGGTTGGAAGGGACCCAAAGGGCCATCTAGTCCAATCCCTTGCAATGCAGGAGTCTCAGCTAAAGCATCCAACCTCTGCTAAAAAACATCCAAGGAAGGAGAGTCCACAACCTCTCAAGTGAGACCATTCTACTGTCGAAGAGCTCTTACTATAATAGCTGTTCCTGGTGTTTAGCTGGAATCTCCTTTCTTGTAACTTGAAGCCATTGGTTAGAGTCCTACCCTCCAGTGCAGGAGAAAACAAGCTTGTTCCCTCTTCCATGTGACAGCCCTTGAAATATTTGAAGATGACTATTGTATCTCTGTAGTTCCCCCCCCCCCACAAAAAAATAATAATTTTGAAATTTCACCCACTTACTAACACTAGGGGGGTGGGGAGAACTTCCACTTATCTGACATTACCTGTTCCAAGTCCTATCCTGAGGCCTCCAAGGAAGTGATTAGCTAGTTTGTTGTGATCCCAGACAGTGAGCTCCACACAGGCTTCTTTCAAATCTTGAGGTCTGAAGCCATCGTAGACCATTGTATGATTGAACACTGGATTTGTTGTCTTCGCTACAGCTCTTGTTTTCTGACGGCTTTTCCTGCTTGTGTCTGGAAGGATGGTACTTCGGATAAAAGTGGGAAGAGGGAGGAAAATGACCATGAGAATAACCTTAGACACTTGAGACTTGGTTCATACCACACAAGAAACTGTTGTCCCAGTAATCTGGGGTGGGCGGGTGACTTTTGGTGGAAGTAAAGAAAGAAACTAGTTCTGCAACCAAGAAAGAAGGGATTCGATAAAACAGAGAGGGAACACTGATAGAGGTGACCCAGCCATCTTGTGGAACAACTACCGTATTGGCCCGAATATAAGCCACACTTTCCCCCCAAATTCCGACCGTGAAAAATTCAAGGGTGGCTTAAATTCGCAACTTTACAAAAATTGGCTTTTACGATATTGCTGCTGAAACAGACAAATGGTAAAAGGGAACAAAAAAATGTTTTATTGCCGATTTGCGAGCTTGCGGGCCTTCTCTGTTACCCATAGGATTTTCTTCTACATTTGCCATTTATGGGTGTGAGTGCCTGCGGAATTGTAGCAACTGAATAGTGATTTGTGATTTTAGCGATTGTAACTTTTTGGGTATTGTCTTTTTTTCTTTTCCCCCCTTGAATTTTAAAGGTGCGGCTTATTTGTGGGTGAGGTATATATTCGGGCCAATATGCTATATAATTGTATAACTCTATCACCAGCTTTATATTATTTTTAAGTTTAGTGGGTTTGTAATCTTTTGCATTATATATTTTATCAACATTTTTTTTGTACTTTGGCTACTTTTGTCATGAAGCAGTTTAAAAAGGTAAAGCTAAAGGTACCCCTGCCCGTACGGGCCAGTCTTGACAGACTCTGGGGTTGTGTGCCCATCTCACTTAAGAGGCCAGGGGCCAGCGCTGTCCGGAGACACTTCCGGGTCACGTGGCCAGCGTGACAAAGCTGCATCTGGCGAGCCAGCGCAGCACACGGAAACGCTGTTTACCTTCCCGCCAGTAAGCGGTCCCTATTTATCTACTTGCACCTGGGGGTGCTTTCGAACTGCTAGGTTGGCAGGCGCTGGGACCGAGCAACGGGAGCGCACCCCGCCGCGGGGATTTGAACCGCCAACCTTTCGATCGGCAAGCCCTAGGCGCTGAGGCTTTTACCCACAGCGCCACCCGCGTCCCTTATGAAGCAGTTTATAAATCTGCAGAAAAATAAACAGGAAACCTCCTCCCCTTGCATCTCAGGCAACAAGAGGTGGTACATTGATGTTCAGTTTGCAGGTGTGCTATTGCCACATGTGCATTAAACAGAGAGAGGCATGCAGGCTCATGCTTGAACTCATTTTTTCAATATCTTGTTGATACGCATCTCCACTGATTTCACAGCTGCAGCCCATCAGGGGCTATGATGTTGTGACAGAAATTGCCACAAACATGTTGGGAGCTGCTTTGGATAATAAAGAGCTTCTGGGTCATAGGCTGGTTGGACACAGAGGAATGGTGGAAGGAACCAGCTGGGGAACCACCAAGGAAAGAAGGCTCAGAGCCCGGGGAGTGATAGTGGGGCAATAATGAGTGATCAGAAGAAGACTGGGAGGAAGAGGTGTCAGAAGCTGAGGAGGTAACAGGGCTTAGTGAGCTGGGAGAATCTGTGGCAGAGGGAAGTCCAGAATCAGAGGCAGAAGCTGACGCAAGAGGGTGGGAGGAGGGAGGCCAAGAGGCAGAGATGAGTCAGGCTGCTGAAGTGGGTTTCTTCCCCTTTTGCTGTGACAAGCTCCCCTCCCCCTGGTTTCCCAGAACCAGAAGAGGCATGAAAAGGGTGGAGGAGAAGTTTACTTCATGCAGGCACAGTCTCAGATTGCTTGGGGAAAACTCTGGAGAGGAAGGGAATTAGGCAGCTATGGGGAGGCAAGAACCTACAGTCTCAGCATCTATTTCATGGGGGCAAGACCTACCAGAGATGAGTTGCTGGGCTCATTAGGCCTGACACTCCTGTGTCAATTTTGGTTTTGTTAATAAAAAGTGAACTCCAGCTTGGATGGTGTGATTCACTGCTGTCTCACTCCTGGCATTCTGGCAGTGCCCAGGACCTGCTCCAAGAGTCAGACACCCAACCTTGCCAAATTACACCTTCATTCAGTTGAATCCCTGTTCTTACCACTTAACAAAAGAGTTGAGTCTATTGCCCCTGAGGACTGGGAGGTCACTGCATTCCTTCACCCAAATGTGGACTTCTCCAGTGACTAGAGGCTTTTTACCTTTGAAACAGACAAAAAAAGGAGAAAGAAAACAGAGCACAACATGGTTGGTTGATCTGTTCAAAAAGCTTCCTTCTCGTGTTTCCTCTTGTTAACAACAAATAAGATACACAGCAAAACTTTGAAGTCTTGCGAAGATATTGAATGCAGCATGGGTCAGACATCTCAGGCCTCTCTGTCCTACAAGACAACACACACACACACCCGCTCCAGACCAAACCTCTTCCCAAGGTCACCCTCACCCCAACCATCTCTGTGATTCATTTTGCAACGGCCACTGACTATGTACAATCTGTCTGAGTGACTGGAACAATGGCACATCTTCATGCATGTGAGTGCTCCAATAATCACATGCAAACGATGATCTTTGCACCTTCTATGTGTAGGGCCTCGGGTGCCATCTTCAAAGGTCGCACTCACACGACACAGTAAAGCTTCAGATGATGGTGTGCAGGATTAGCTGCCTCCAGCCTGAGGTTGACCCATTGTAAGCTAATTGTTCAGTCACCGAACAGAAGGTTACTGCACCAGCCACACAGAGGGAGAACAGAATTCCAGCAACATCTAGGAGTCTCTCCATACTACTTCACAGCCAAGTAAACTTAGAGGAAGGTCAAATACAATCTTAGTTTACCGTTAAAAGAGTGAGGGGCCTCAGGCTGACTCGTGGGAGTGAGGCCTCCATCCCTGGTTTGCAACAAGCCATGGTTTATGCGATTTCATTTGAATATGGAAACCAATGGTTTGCCCAAACAACCGTTTAATAATAATAATATTTTATTTATGTCCCGCCCTCCCCAGCTGAAGCCGGGTTCAGAGTGGCTAACAACAGTAAAAATAACGCAGTTTACATAAAATCACAATCAATTGAAATACATTCTAAAATCAATTCATTCTAAAATCAATTCAGAGTCAAATTAATGGCAACCACTGGGCTAGAGTTCTATGAGGATTACAGAAGGAGGGGGTCAGACTGTGCCTTGGCCAAAGGCCTGGTGGAACAGCTCTGTCTTGCAGGCCCCGCGGAAAGATGTCAAGTCCCGCAGGGCCCTAGTCTCTTGTGACAGAGCGTTCCACCAGATCGGGGCCACAGTCGAAAAAGCCCTGGCTCTGGTTGAGGCCAGCCTAACCTCCCTGTGGCCTGGGACCTCCAAGATGTTTTTGTTTGAGGACCGTAAGGTCCTCTGTGGGACATACCAGGAGAGGCGGTCCCATATGTATGAGGGTCCTGGGCCGTATAGGGCTTTAAAGGTTAAAACTAGCTAGCACCTTAAACGTGATCCTGTATCCCACTGGGAGCCAGTGCAGCTGGTATAGCACCAGGTGAATGTGATCCTGCGGCAAGGACCCCATAACACAACCAGAAGCCATGGTTTCATCCTGGTTGCTTTGTATCCAAGGCATAGTTTGAGCAAACCATAGTTTGCCAGGTTTGAATGACATGCCATTGAATTAGGGAGGCAAAACACCCCATGAAGCAAACTTGGAAAGTGGGTAAGAAAAATATACTTACCCCCAACAGGCTGTGGAACATATTGGAGAGCTATTTTCATGTCCCCTCTGTTCTCCAGATCAAGACCAGCTAGTGGAGTCTGACCAAACAAAAACAAGAAACCAATGACTATGTAATACAAGCAACATCTTGAAATATGTGGTCCAATTAGACCCCAAAATAGGTTTACTAACGTATCTCAAAGACACAGTTCCAGAAGACAGAAAGAAATTATTATGTCATGATTTAGCTGCAAGGATTTTATATGAAAATACTGGGGTGAGAGTGGGGTAGGGAATGCCCCCATTTAAAGCAATGGCTTATTTAATTACGGGAACAGGCAACCTCCTACTCAAGATGCTTTGGGTTCTTCAAAGGGAAAAAGAAAATTATACAAGAAAGGACAATGTTTAAAGGAACTCTGGAACAGTAAGACAGAGAGGGATTCATCTTTGTTAATTTTATGAAAAGATATGAATATGAGTCTTCTCAAACTGAATAAATAAATGGGACATTAAATACATTGCTCCTATTAACTATGGGTGGTATTCAATGCTAGTCCTACTCGAGAGTAGCCCCACTGAAGTTAATGAATAACTCATTAATTTCAATGGGTGGCATTCAAGTAAATTTTACTGAGAGGAGACACACTGAAATTACTGAACGTGACTAACCTAGATCCACTAACTTCAGTGGATATATTCTTCAATATGACTAGCATTGAATAAAACCCTTAGATTACGTCAGCTCATTTCTTTTTCTTCTTTTTGGTTAAATTATTAATTACTGCTATTTAATTTCTAACTGCTATTTAATTTCTAACTGGGCTAATGTTAATTGTCCAGTTTTTGTTTTTTGTAATTGCCATTATTGATACCCAGTTGCTTTCCACATTGCTATTACTCATTTTGAATACTGTATTGATATATAAAGGTAAAAGGTAAAGGACCCCTGGATGGTTAAGTCCAGTCAAAGGCGACTAAGGGGTGTGGCGCTCATCTTGCTTCAAGCTGAGGGAGCTGGCGTTTGTCCACAGACAGCTTTCCAGGTCATTTGGCCAGCATAACTAAACTGCTTCAGGCACAACGGGACACTGTGACGAGTGCCAGAGCACATGGAAATGCTGTTTATTTTCCTGCCGCAGCAGTACCTATTTATCTACTTGCACTATTTATCTACCTGCTTTCGAACTGCTAGATTGGCAGAAGCTGGGACAGAACAACAGGAGCTCACCCTGTCGTGGGGATTTGAACCACCAACCTTCTAATCTGCAAGCCCAAGAGGCTCAGTGGTTTAGACCACAGCGCCACCCACTCCCTCTGTATTGGCATATATTGCCTAATAAACTCTCTTTAAAAAAACAACCCACTGTCTATGAAACCTAATATTGTAGCATCTCTTATTTGTGTGTTTTCACAAATACTGTGTGCGAAATGGGTGCAAGCTGAGCTTATCAGCTGATAAAAGAAACATTGATAAGCCACCTACTGGGGGCCACGCAAACTGCAGCATGACAACAACCTTAGGAAAATATGTATTGGGAAAGATTTACATCTGCTTCCAGGTTAAATCTCAGACACCTTTTTAATAGAAATATTTTTAATCAGCTACACTGGGGGTAGCCAACGTGGTGCGCTGCAGATGATGTTGGACTACAAAGCTCATCATCCCTTATTGCTGGCCATGTTGGTTTGGTTGGAGCTGATGGGAGCCAGAGTCCAACTGCATCTGGAGGGTACCACATTGCCTACCTGTGGACTACATGTTGCAGCACTGGTGAAAATTATACAGAAGCCAAAGTAGAAATTCATCACACTGGGCAAGGTTATTAACTTCAGTGATAATTGTTGATATGAAAATATTTCCTATGAATGTAAATGACAGTACAGGAATTATAAACTGGTAGCCGTATGATTCAGAATTTTGGCTGTTGCTATTTACTCATTTATGAAATCACTGAGGGGGAGAAGAGAGTTTGGCCCAACGACACTCATTGGACCAAAAACCATTAACTCACTCTTGGCTTAAGCGGGTACCAAATCATCTGCTTGTTCTGCCTGTCATCCCAGTCCCATTCTCCCAAGTCCAGCTCCACTTCGCCCAGGAAACTGTTACGTCCAAACGTGTCATTGTGCCACACGGAGACATTCAACCTCTGGGACGCCAAGAGAGCCCTGTCAACTTTATACTGCAAAGGAGACAAAACAGACGCTTTAAGTATGCATTTATCTACAGAATTAGAATTGTGTGTTAGAACTGTGAGCTGCAGATGAAGCATGCTATTCCAACGGAGAGGTGGGGGTAGATTGGATTTACCGTATTTTTCGCTCTTTAGGACACACCTTGTTTTAGAGGGGGAGAACAAGAAAAAAAAAATCTCCCCCTCACTGCTCAGCGCCCCTTCAGCGAAGCGGCAGGAGAAATGGAGCCCCTTCCATTTCTCCTCCCGCTTGGCTGAAGGGGCGCTGCGCAGCTCTCCCTCTCTGCTGAAGCAGGAGAGTCTTGCTCTCCCGGCTTCAGCGCAAGGAACCCAAAGCCTCCGAAGTGCAGCGGGAACTCGCGCTGCTCTCCAAAGGCTTCAGGCGTCTATCCCTGAAGCCTGGAGAGTGAGAGGGGTCAGTGCGCACCGACCCCTCTCACTCTCCAGGCTTCAGTGAAAGCAACGCGAAGCCTCCAGAGCGCGGAGGGAGCATTCCCTCTGCGCTTCGGAGGCTTCGCGTTGCTATCGCTGAAGCCAAGGAGCCTGCATTCGCTCCATAGGACGCACACACATTTCCCCCTTAATTTTTGGAGGGGAAAAAGTGCGTCCTACAGAGCAAAAAATTTGCCAACATCTACCTTTAATGGAACAATGGAGCACCAGCAGGGCCAACCTGGCACTCACTCCTGCCAGTGTGTTTGCACCATGCCCACCTCCCCATTATCCTCAGTGACTCAGCTGTAAGGAGGTCAGATAAGCACCACTGCCCCACTGTGCTGTCCTCTACTGGTTAAACCAAGCTATCATTCAGAAAATGAATTAGTTTACTGAGCTGGGCTCGCACATTCAAACAAACCATGCTTAGGCTAAACGAACCATGATGTGCTGCATTCGTTCTGATACTATAAATTATACAAGTTACCCTTAATATCTCATTGAAGACAGGGTTCAACGTCTTCTTCTTCACCGACGTTTTTCTTTTGCCCAGTTTGTACTTCTCCGGTAGCAGGTAACTCTTCACATACCTAAGGAGATTTAACCACCAGTCTGGTTAACGTAACATTTGAATCTGGAAGAAGGCTTTCAGGGAAACCCAAGAGCAAAACAAGCACCTTTAGTCTGCAGCTCTCCAAGCCTTAAAACTGAACAGGCCAATCTTACACAGGGAATTTCAAAAGGGTATCTATAATTACGAAGCACTCAAGTTTGTTCCCAGGCCTGAAACGTCAAAAATGGGATACCCGCTTGTGCGGGAAAGAATTTTTAAATTATTATTAAAAACTGTTCTGTGCAAGATCATTCCAGTCTTGCTTGGTTTCACCTATTATTTATATTATGCCTTACCTTCAATAGCTCAAGGTGGCAAACACACTTCTCCTTAGGAAGAAGATGGTCAAATGATTTCAACACTGCTGGCTTCCACTAAAATTGTCAGCTTTCAAATGCTGCGGAGAGTGAGACCCTCCCCCACGCCTGTCTGATTTCCCCGACTTGGTTAGAAGGCTGGCGGAGGGCTTCCCCCTCCTCCAGCCCCGCAAGCTCCCAGAGCGATGCCAAAGCTGCACGCAGCTTCGGCATGGCTCTGGGTCCCGTTCTGGGGGCTGGGGGAGGGGAAGCCTGAGCTTCCCCAGCCCCGTGCCTGGGGGGGGGAATATTTTTTTCCCTTTATTTCCCCCCAAAAAATCTAGGTGCGTCCTATAGGGCGAAAAATACGGTACTTACACTTTGACACACTTTCGAACTGCTAGGTTTGAACACACACACACACACACACACACCACCCTCCACCTACACTTACGGATCTGAACGCTGCTTCTTAACATCTGCAATTGCCAAGTCCTTGCCCTGGGCAACGAAAATATGAAGTTCCTTCAGTTGCTCCACATAATCAATGGCAAACTGGAGGTTTCCTTTCACATCCACGTTCCCAAAGTCTCCACTGTAGATACTCATCACGCTGGTGCTGACCTGTAGAAGTCACCGAGCAGAGAACAAGCCCTTAAAAAAAAAAAATTCCTTATCCCTTCCTGCAGACTCTTTTAAGGTGGGAAATAAATCTAAGTTCATGGCTGAACTTCATCTACGCATAGCTGAAGGCAGCAAAGAACAATTCAGAGTCCCTCTGCAGATGTCATCCCAGGGAGAGATAAGAGTTTATATTCAAATAATGCATGCTCATTTTCAAACCAGATGGGAAATCATCAAACACTACACATGCAAAGAGTGATTTTGCTGGATGGAACCCAGAAAAAAATATACATATCGCCCTCTGCTCTCAGATATGCTAGCAGTTTTCCTCCATCTGCCTTCCTGCCTGTACTCACAAACCACTTAGAAATTTGTGCTCAGACCTGATAAATTATAAAGTGATTGGCAGCTTGGTTATCCACCATTATGTTTCAGCATAACAATTGCTTTACAACCCTCATCTTGCTTATTCTCAAATGATGTTATGCTAGAGGTCGCTGTTATTCCCATTTTACAGATTTATTTGCTAAAAAACTTAAGAATCGCAAGAGGAGCTCACTTGAGTCTGCCCAGCAAATTCAGGGCTCAGATAGGACTTTGGTCTACTTTGAACTCTCATGGACTATAGGAAGCCGGGACAGGTTCAGAATTCTGTATCAGCATATAGAATTTCACATGGTTCATATAATGACTCCTGTTTTCTCCAGGAACAATAGGAATGTGCCTACCTATGGTCTGTCTATTCAGACATCCTGCCAGCCAAAAACCATAGTTTCCAATTCTGGTTTGGTGGTTAATCACAAAACATGATCTCCCAGTTCCAACCTAACACCAAACCATGGATTCCTTAGCCATGGTTTGGCTGCATAACTCTTAAGGCACCAGGGTTGGCTACAGCTCCCTGCCAAGAATATCTTCAATGGCAAACACAGGTTTATCATTTCACTGAAATAAATGCTTAGGAGCAGTAGTTACAAATGTTCTGAAGGGCTCAAAAGGTTAGGCTGAACAGAAAATGGGAAATGAGAAGTTAATTCAGATAGCAAAAAGAATCTGGATGTTACAACTAGTTAACAGTCAACTGCAATCGCATCAAGCATCACACATCACAATATTAAACAGAGGCTCTGCTGCTACTGCAGAGTTAAATAAAACGAAGTGTTAGCAAAAGCAGTGTTATTAACTAAAGCTTTCGTCTACATACAGAAGACAAGGACGCCAAGCCAGAAGAGCCACTAAGATTGGTTAGCGAACTGGGGCTCTTCTTGATTCTGCCAAGTGGGTAACTGCTGTCTGAAGCTGTATCTGTTTCTCTGTCATCGCTCTACAAGATATTACACAAAGAGAAAAAAGAAGAAGTCTGTGCAGGTGTTCAAAAAGTGGGGAAATATATTGCCATGCGGCACACAATTTTAACAAAGTAGGTCTGCCAAAGTAGGCTCGCCATTCTGCGATGCAAAACTGTAGGGGACAACCATTAATGAATAGGCATGCAAGAACTTCACTGTCTCAAATATATAAATCACGGAGAAAATAGGAAAGAGACAAATGTGTGTTCAGTATATCGGCTGCCATCCCTGTTCCTGGACCAGTAAGACACCAAGTCCAAACTCCTACCTCAAAGACAATACACTACTCAGTGTGGATGCCCTGCTTAGCTTTACAGTTTAGCCTTTATGATTCAGATCAAAGCAAGTAGAAGTGCCATTCTTGGACTCCCTTTCCCATCAGCAGAAAGAGCCGTAGCCTCTGCTTTGATTGCCGAAGGTCCCTGGGTTCAATCCAGGTGAGGCTGGAAAAGGCTCACCTGAAATCCTGGAGAGCCACTGCCAGCCAGTGTAGGCCAGGAGGGTAGCCAATGTGGTGCCCTCCAGATATTTTGCTGGACTACAACTCCCATCATCCCTGGCCATTGGCCATGCTGGCTGGGGCTGATGGGAACTGTAGTCCAAGATTTGGAAGGTGAAGCATTGGCTATTCCTGAGCTAGATGGATCAACAGACTGATTCAGTATAAGGCACCTTCCTAGTTTCCCAGCCATTGCGACAATTTGTCAGGCATGATGGGAGTTCCAGCTGACAACATCTGGAGGGGTGCTGCGTTGCTTGATTCAGGACATTGCCAGATACACTGCCAGAAATCCTCAAGACTTGCTCCTTCACCCTGACCTCTCAGGAACAAGCTAAGTAACAGTGTTAAAAGACTCAAGTCTCTCTAGTATTTCTCCTGAGCCAGTCAGCACTCCCTGAAAGTAGGCAGTCAAGATTCTGCATTTCTCAAACGAGCAAAAGACAAGCAAGCAAACAAAAACCCTTACCTCCTCCTGCGTAAATGTTGGGACTGATTTGCTCATCCTTTTGATATTTTCCGGATGTGAGAACTGGCTATCAGGGAAAGAAGGTGCTGTGGAAACTGGAAAAAAAGCAGCAGTTCTTGTTTAGAGAGCTAATTAGATTCTAATACGGGGGGCGGGGCGGGGCGGGGACGAGTCATAGATTGCTTTTGGGGGTGGGATGAAGAAGACATGCATGAGAACTTCAACATGCAGGATGCACTTACTAGGAGCTGCAACACATATCACAAGGAAGCTGCAACGAAGGACACGGACGCGAGCTGTGCATGCCCTTCCAACACTTCCAGCCATCCTATACATGGCACAATGGCCTCCAGATGTTGACTGACTACTCCCATTGGCCATGCTGGCTGGAATTGAATGGTGTATGCAGTCTGCAATATCTGCAGGGTGCCATGTTGGCTTTTGCACATTGTTTTTCCTGATGTGGGTATATTTTAAAAAGCCTCCCACACACAACACCCGAAGACACTAAAAGAAGGTGCAAGTATCTCCTGTTACTTCATTATGTCTGAAGTGAGTCTTTCTCTAGCCAGGAACTGATATGACTCTATGGCAGAGCAGGGTTTCCCCTGCTTAATATATTAACTCCCCACCACCACCTAATTATTTATTTGAACCCAAGATTCCTCTTGCATGTCGTCCACTACGTGGCACTGGCTCCCCAGATATTTGACTTCAGATAGTTATTTCAAATGTCAGTACTTGGAAATCTACAGTCGTGGGTTCTCAGTATCGTTGTTGGCATCTGTCTGTCTGAAGAGGAAATGGAATGTGCCTCTGGGGGTGAAGCTAAACAGCTGTGTTAGCAGCACCAAAGTGACCTCCCTTGGGCGCAATCCTGGGCAGTGTGTATGGCAGTCCTAGATTGCCCAGACGACAAGACCCTCACTGATGTGGTCCAAAGGAAAGCAAGATGTTTGGCACCAGCTTGGCTGCAGGAGTTGTTGGAAGGAGGCATACAAGACACCATCCAACCATTCTTGATAGAGGGCTGAATTAAATGCACAAATTTTGCCTGCACCTGGCAGGATGTATGGGACTGTCCTTCTGCCCCCAGGTCCTATAGCTATGATGGAGCATTGTGCTATTCAGTTATATAAAGAGCCTTTTTCATGATGCTGCCAGTTCTTCTTTACTGGGCCTTCCCTTTCCCATCCAGTATCACTATCAAGGTTTGATGCTGCAAGAATCCCAGGAGGTGGTTCTAAAAGGCTCAACGTTCAGAGATCTTCCCATTCCACAGCAAGTCCGTCAATTACAACTTGGTTGCAAACAGCAAACGGAACACACACACACCCCCCACACTAAATATGCATGACCTGCTGCAGAAGTAGCTTTACAAGATACAAGCCATTAGTAAAACAACAACAAGAACAAGAACAAACTCCAAATGTATTATTAGTCAGCCAATATTAGCAGCAACAATAGAGTGTGAAGCCACAAAAGGTTTGAGCTACTGTGTGCAGGAAGGGACATTATTACTCACTTCCTGGAGCGTTCTCATCAGGCTGATCTGCTTTTTGATCTGGTCAAAATTGCAACGTTAAATACTGTCACACTCCGATGCCGCTATTGGCTGTGCTATAATCACAGGTGAACTGGACACTTTGCATGCGATGCCTCAGCTATTTCCCCCCCAATCATTGTTTCAGAATTCTATGCCTACTGCATTGCAGAATGCAGAAACCGCCTTCTTGACTGTTGGACCCACGATTGGTCTTGTCCACTCAATCCGCCAGAACCTGTCTTCGCAAACAGGGGAAGTCCCTAACTCACCCATTGGCTGGCCTCACCTGTTTCAGCTGGCCAGTCAAAGCCATTTCCTGGGGTGTCTCATGCTGACAGTGTCTAGGAGCCACAGGTGAGAGCTGAGTGCAGGCTGGGGACCCAAGGTGGACAAACTGCCCCAGAAGTAGAACAGCATGTCCCCCAACAGAGGCACAACCCCTCCCATACACCCCAACAGCACTATAGACACACAGATGAACATCACCCAGGAGTCTAAATCATGCAATACTCTTATCTAAAAACCTGGCAGGCAGAAAAGTCTTTTGCTGCTAAGAACGAAGAAACACTACTGAAGCAGGTTACGTTCATGCAGGCACAAATAAAATAGTTACCGTCTTCCGCACTAAGCATTAAATCTTCCTTTGGGAGGTTTCCTTTATCTGCACAAGAGGGGGGGAAACGTTGACATAGTTAGACATTCCTGCTGTTTAGGGAGGTCGCTGTGGGCTCTCAACATAGGCCTCTAGAGGTGGAAAAGAAAGATGCTAACTCGGGAGCAAACACACAGAAGAAGCCTTTTTCTTACGAAATATTATAGGGTAAAGAAATGCACCTTAAAAAATGAGGCAGCCATGCCATCCTTTCTAGCACAGACTATATGGCAGTTACTTTGTGGACACCTAGGAGCCCCAAAAGTTGCGTCTGAGGCCTTGCAGGGTTTCTCCCAGAAGTTGTGTCGGAGGCCCCGTGAGGCCTCGGATGCCACTTCTGAGGCCCTGAAAGGTCTTCAGCGTGACTTCCAGGGCCTCATGAAGCACTGGAAGTCACGTCAGAGGCCCTTTGGGAGCCGGGCAGGCTTTTGTGGATGCCTGGAAGCCCAGGGTCCCTTATAGTTGGTGCCGGTGCTTGCACAATCTACGTTATCCTGGTGCGGCACATTTCCCCAGAGGAACTCCATTAAGTGACTTTAACTTGGTGCTACATTGGATACAACCCTTAAAAAAAAAAGTATCTTGGGATGCATAGACCTTCCAAAGGCAATTCTTAACAACGGCGAGGCAGGTGGGGAAAAGAATTCTAAGAAAACCTTCAGGGAGTATGGAAGACATCAGACAAGGTTTTTTTGCTCACTTGATGTGGCTGATGGTATGTCCTCTAGACTTTTGGAAGGGATCTGCCTATTTGAACTCCTTTTCAAAGCCTCCTTTACAGGGTTTAGTTCTTCTTCCGAACCTGTTTCAAGACAAAAACACATGAACACTGCACAACACACAGGCATGTACCTTAAACAAGCATAGCCCTTTTAAGAAAATAAATAAATAGCTTTGGTGGGGGGAACCCACAGGTGTTTCAGCTAAGAGGCTAAGGCAACCTTGGGTCCTCAGATACAGATGGACTACAACACCTATAATTCCTGATAAACGGCCATGATGGAAGGCAACGATGGGGGTTATAGTCCAACAATATCCAGGGAACCAAGAAGGCTGAGCTAAAGTGAGAACTGGAAAGATTAAGCTGTTATGTAGCACACATCATTTTATTTTTTAAGTTGCTTCTGTGTGAAGCAACGAATAAGTTGAATAAATAAAAGCAGCCATCATGCTGCCTGACAGATGTTGTTGGACTACAACTCCCATGACCCCTGGGCCATGCTGACTGGGGCTGCTGGAAGCTGGAGTCTAACAACAAGAGCAGTGTTTCCCAAACTTGGGTCCCCAGCTGCTTTTGGACTACAACCCCCATCATCCCCGACCACTGGTCTTGCTAGCTAGAGATGATGGGAGTTGTAGTCCCAAGTTTGGGAAACGCTGATTTAGAGGGTACCATCTTTGCCAATGCCTAGAGAGCACAGCTCCCTTCCTGAGCCCCAACTGACTGGCAAAGGGGAGGGCAGGATTCTAAGATGCAAATGTTAGCAAGCCTATTGTGCAGCTGCAAGGAGGGCGTCTATCCATTGTTCTGGGAGATTATGGGGAAATACACATATGTACAAAGCAGTATGCATGCCCTGCTTTTAATTCCAAGGTGAAGGGTTGGAAAAGAGTCCCAAGAAGATGGGAATAACTACCTAAGAGAAATGATGCAAAGGCAAATTGTTACTTGGGTTAACCTTGGGTTTATTGCACTAGACCACGTGTGGAAGAACCTTTGGCTCTCTAGGTGTGACTTACCTACAGCTCTCATCATCCCTGGCCATTGGTCACGATTTCTGGAGGTGGAGCTGATCAGAGCTGTATCTCAGCAACATCTGGAAGGTCAAAGGTTCTCCAGACCTGCAAAGGGATCTGGTGCCCAAAACATACTTTTTAAACCATAGGACTTTGTTTACAGGATGGCCAAGTGCACAGAAAAGCACTGTGCCAGCAGGGTACCAGGCACCTGCCACCTCAATTTGCCCAGAGGCATATTTGTGTCATGTGCCTCAGCATCTTCTAGCTACCTAGCAATACCCCTGATTGAACAAGGTATCCAATATTTGACATTGGGGGGCTAATTGTCTACTATTGATTTATTAATGTACTAAAAATATTTCCCCCTTGGGTTCATCTTCATCAAGCATACACACCACCCAGAGATAAGATCAAATAATTCAAAAACTGCTCACGAGTTGAACTTCTTTGGAAACCCACAAAAGAATTGCGGCTTTCATCTGAAAGGTTGGATTCAACGCTCCTGGCATCTTCATCCTCTTCGCTGCCGTCAGCGTGACGGGTGGCAAGGAGCAGCTCAACCTGTCTTGTTTTAGGGGGGTTCCCCTCTTCCGCACCCTCTTTTTCACTTCCACCATCGAGACAGGCACTGGCAGTAGCAGAATCTTCTCTCCCTTTTTCATATTCCTCCTCCCTCTTACCTGCCTTGGCAAGAGTGAAAGAATCTTCCCTTCTTATCAGGAGCGGGACTTTAGGTGATGCTAGGTTAAGTTGAATAGTTTTTTGGAAAACCGCATTCCTTTCAGGGGTGCCAGAAAACTTTTCTCGGTCTACAGTTTGGTTATCTTGCTTGAAAGTCTTGCCCTTGAGCGGTATTTTAACCTCGGTTCGAAAGTCGCTCGGCACGCTCTCAACAGACGTTTGCGTTTTTACGGCTAAACCTCCCTTTGCTACCTGAAATCCTGACACATCAGTCACTTTCTTCTCTTCTTCATTGGACAGAAGCAAAGCAGCACCAGAGATTTCTCCAAAAAGCTTTTCTAAGCTGGATTTGAATACAGAACCGTCTTTTTCTAGGGCAACAGATTTTGTTACAGTTTCATTTGCTTCTTGGGGAAGAAGGCCCGTCGTGCTATCTGAGCCATGGGCACCATGGAGGTTCTCCTTCATTCTGATATCCAACCATCTCATTTCAGAAGGCTGCATCTGGGCAGTTTCTTCAAGGAGTTTCCGGAAGCCTGGATTAAATTCTCTTTGCTTCAACTTGGATGGGGCAACTTCCTTGTTTACAGTTTCATTAATCTCTTGACCATAGCCAATTCCCTGCGGGCAAACTAAATCTACAGTCCGATTAGACTCACTCTCTGTTTGTGCCCCATGACCGCTGCTTGAGTCTTTCTGGCTTTTTGGAAGAACTTCAACGTCTTCCTTGAGCAGATTTTGGAAGTTGGCTCTGAGTTCAGCTTGCCTGAAATTGGAGGGAGCAGTAGCTTTTTCTATCATCTCAATTATCTCTTTATCATAAATTGAACTTGTGTTCTGATGGGGCTGTAATGAACCATGGGCTGGCTTAGGAACTGCAATGTCTTGGAGCAACATTTCGGAGCTCTCCTTAAGCAGTTTGCTTAAACTGTCTCTAAATGCCACATGCTCGGCCGAATTTGGTTTAACAGTTTTCACGACCGTCTCTGCCACTTCTGTAGGTTGCTCACCAACATTCCCTTGAGCTCTTATGTTTTCCTGGTTTGAAAATGACAACAGCACAGCGGCCTCTCCTACAGGCCCACCCTGCATTGTAGTCAATAATTTGCCACTGTCTTCGTCTGTATCTAAACTTCGGTCAAGTGTCCCACCAACAGTCTCTTTAGGAGGATTGGCCATTTGGGGTGAAACAGGAATGATCTTTCTGGTCGCCTGCTCAGAAGACCTCTGCTGCAGTTCCCCGGGGACACTGTCAATTTGTGCTTTCAAAATACTCTCATTTGTGGGTGTTTTTGGCAATTCCTCCAAAAGAAAGGCTAGTTTGGCATTCAAATCGTTGCCTTGCCTTTTTGATGGAACATTAGCTTCTGCTGCTGTCTCGAAAACCTCTTTCGTGGGAGAGTTTGCTCTGTTCTGACTGGCGAGACGAGCGTCAGGCAGTATCAGTTTTGGCGAAGGAATCTGGAAGAATTCTTCCTGAGAAGTAGCATTTAGATCCCTTTGGCCTTCTTCCCTGTTGGGAGATTTTCCAGACACCATATCTGAATCTTCTGTTGATCCAGATGAATCTCCCAAGTGCTTTTTAAATATGAGTCTATCCTTGGGTGGGACATTTTTTTGTATTGTTCCATCTGTTTCCCAGGACTCCACTCTGCTATTTTTTTCATCCGTGTCACGGCTGCGTTCCATCACCTTATTAAAAAAACGCCTCTTTTCCAATGGAGAATGTGCTTGTTCAGAAACATCCGCCACTATGTGACGACTGGGTGAGGAGCTCTCATCTGAGGTGTCCTTTAGCAGCCTCTCTAAGTTAGTGACAAAAGCAGTGGTGTCAGCTTTTGGTGGAACCAAAGATCTGCTTACAGTCTCTGGAACCTCAGAGACTTTTCCATCTGCACTTGCAAAAACAGCCCCCTGCTGTTGATTCTGGTCACTGTAAGACGCTTGCACCTCTGTTGCTAACTCCACCTGTGGAACCCCTTTCTTGTCCGCCAGAGGATAAGCCAGCAAGGACTCCTGAAATGCTTCTTTCAACAGTTTCTGCATGCCACTGTTAAACAGACTGTGCTGTACTTTGGATGGAACATTTGTTTTTTCTATATACTCTTCCACCGGACGCACAGTCTTTCCCTCTGCAGGTGCAAATTCTACATTTCCTAATGGCACAGCATTCACTGTGAAGAGAGCGGTCCCTCCTGCTTGTTTCGGGACAACACGGTTTGCTTCCAATACCTTTTGTTCCTTCACGTCAAACCCTTGGAGGATGGGTTTTTGCTGTTCACCTTCCAACACCACCTGGCTAGTTCCTTCCCTGACTTCTCCCAACTCTTTCAGATACCTTCCTGTACTACTTTGCCTGTCCCTTGGAACAGTCACCTTCACCTTGGCTTCATCCATCCCGCTCTGCGGCTTAGTCCCCACATCCCAAAAGTTTCTCAGGCTTTTGAACTGCAAAGGATTGAGCATCTGAGCCTTTGCCTCTTCGTCTGCTTTTTCCTTTAAAGCGTGGATCTTAAAGTGTGGCTTCTGCTGCAGAGCAGATGACGCTCTCTCTGTTTCCAGACCGTCAGCTTGTAAACCTCCATCCTCTTTAGAGGGAACCAGGTTGGGTCTTGGGCGCAAATTATTTGCATCCAGCAACTCTGCAAATGCATTATTCCTCTGGTCACTTAGGGGTATTTTGCCAGATTCATCAACAATACGGCCCCCTTTGGATTTATCCATTATATTTGGTCGAACTTTCCCTGAAGGCAACTTAATCCCATTATCATCAGGTCCCGAGTCATCCGCACCAATTTCTACTTTTCTGAAGGTTACTAAATTATACTTGCCTTGTTCGTTATCCGATTCTCCAGTAACATATCCTGAGGATCCACCCACTGGTTTTATTCTGCTGCGTTCCTCTTTATAGATTGGTATCCGGTTACTCCCAGGAGTGCTTTCACTTAATAGGCCTTCCTTATTTGCAGGCTTTGGGTTCATCGCCTCTCTTTCCCAGAAAGCCCTGATATTCTTGACTTTTCTTGGAACCTCTGATTCTTTGGATTCATCTTGAGGGAAGGTAAGGAGATTCCCTCTACTGGGGTGCTGCATGGTTTTGTCATCTAGATGCCCAGATTTTTTCCCTTTAGGTTCATTAAATATCTCTCCAGATCGATGCTCAGAGTTTGCTCCTTCCGAAAAAGCTTTAACCCCTTCCTCCCCATCGGGCGTAACATCTCCCCTTTCTGTTACTTTTCCAAAAGAAGAGCCAACACTTTTCCAACCCGGTTTTCCCTTTGCATCTTCCAACATCTTCGGTTCTTTGCACAAAGCACTGTTGTCCTCTGTTTCAACCTTGCCTCCCGCAGCCCTTTCATCTCTCTCGTTTGCAGGCTGGCCAATGGCCTGGAAACATGTTCTCTCATTTAAATGAATGTCCTGCCCTTGAGAGCTAGAGGAAGCAACCTCTCCTGTTTTGCTTTGATCTTCTAGTAACAGGCTGCCTGGACTTCCATCCTTTGTAAACGGCGACCCACCCGGAACGTTTACCATTTCGTGGAATCGATAGTCCTTGCTGGTTGGCTCTTCTCTTCACGTACAGAAGAATGCAGATTTAACATATCTGAACTGCAGCCTTTATCTTTTGCAGTTGCAGCAGATTCTCTTGCCTTGGGTATATCCATTTCCTCTGCAAGTCCCGCGTCTTGCGGAAGCGTCTCTTTTTCATCATCACTGGAACTTCTTTTAAACCAGTCGAGCACCTTAGATATGGACTCATCGGCTGCCTTCAAGATCTCAGCAGTGTATTTGTCAGATTTGGAAACCGTTTTAGCACTCGGAGCCTCAACCAGAGCTTGCTTACCTTGTTCAAGGTCTGCAGAGCCAACTTTTGGCACCTGAGGGTCTTCTGTTTTAGGCAGCTGCTGGTCTGCAAGAGACAACCAATTTTTGTTGTTGTTGTTGCGAAACTGCCTAATTAAAGAAACCTCAGGCAATCAAATTGATTGTAATGAATGGGCCAGATCTGCATAAAATCAGCATGAGACTAAGCAGAAGATAGTGCATTTGCGACACAGCAGCTAGCTTCACAGAGGCAACTCCCTTCTGGATGAGAGTGGGAATAAAATGCCTCTTCTAAGATGTATTTATAATGAAAAAGGTATTTGTTTAAAAAGGATTCTGTTGCCTGATTGAAAAGATTTTCAGCCAATCGGTTAATCAATTCAAGGTCGCAGTTCCAGCTGGAATACAAGCTCCCCCTCCCCCCAAAAAAGCCATCAATTTATTTCAAATGTTAGCAATGATGGTAATATGCTTTTAAATAAATGTGAACTAGTAATTATTGAGAATAAGGTGCAATGTATGATCTTTAATCTGATGCCTCAACCGCAAATTATGCAAGCAAGGGAAAGCTCCCTCTTTTTAGCCGTGATTCCTCCATTGCCGGGGGTTGGACTCGGTGACCCTTGCGGTCCCTTCCAACTCTACAATTCTATACAATTCTATTCATGTTCTGCTCAAGGGATTTCGTTGGTCACTGGGAAAGGCTGAACTGGAATGGTCTGATCCAGCAGGTCTCTTGTGTTCTTAACCAGGAAGTGGAGGGAGGGGACTGCAGTGCAGACTCTGGCTGTACTTTCTAAACCAGGGGTCAGCAAACTTTTTCAGGAGGGGGCCGGTCCACTGTCCCTCAGACCTTGCGGGGGGCCGGACTATATTTTTTGCGGGGGTGTGTGTATGAATTCCTGTGCCCCCAAAATAACCCAGAGATGCATTTTAAATAAAAGCATACATTCTACTCATGTGAAAACACCAGGTAGGCCCCACAAATAACCCAGAGATGCATTTTAAATAAAAGGGCACATTCTACTCATATAAAAACACACTGATTCCCAGACCGTCCGCAGGCTGGATTTAGAAGGCGTTTGGGCCAGATCCGGCCCCCAGGTCTTAGTTTGCCTACCCATATTCTAAACAACAAAAAAAGCTAGATGAAACCTCAGCCTCCTCCTTAAACAGAGTTACTTACCAATTACACAAAATGCAAGCTTTGCCCCTGTCAAGACTTAAAAACCTGCACGCCCCAATTCTGATATGATTTCAAATCAGTGGCAGCACAGCAGCCAAAGGAGTGCATCTTGAAGAAAAGTGATCAGCGAGTGTGTCGGGATGTGGTGATGGGAAGCGAGAAAACAAGCAAACGGTTAGGACTTGAATTGATCAGGGTTAAGATAGTAAAAGCATTAGTGATCCCTCCAAATGGCAGACAGCTAGACAGGGGCCTGAAAATCTCACTAAACTGTTAACTCACTGGGATATGCTATTATTTCTTACCAGGTGTGCTTTTCGAGTTGTCCTGTTCAAGGCTCGGCGGCTTAGTTTTGATCTGAGGCTTCGTGGTATCGGTTTGTTCTTCCCTCACTGAGGGGAAGGTCTTGCTAGGAGAGTCGCTTGGAATTGTAGGTCCTGCAACAGAATGTTTCTCAGGCTGCAATGTGTTGGGTGGCAGGCCAGAGCTCTTGGCACCATGAGAACCTGGAGCTGTTCCCTCTCCTTGGCTCTCAGTGTTACTGTTTAAGGCTGGAGAATGGGCGCGAGGAGGCTTAGACGGGAGAGTCTGGCGACTCTGAAGTGCACCTAGATCACCCGCTCTGTTCCCATTGGCCTTGGCGTAGTCAGAGTCCAACAAAACGAACTCCCCGGATTCCTTGCCCTCGTGCAACTCAAGGCTCGGCGGGCGCTCTTTCCTACTGACGCTGGACGAGAACCGGACCTGCTTCAGCCTCTCCAACGAGTTTTCGGAGAAGCCTTCGGATTCGCCTGGAGGAGGCGGGCTCTTCTCCGCAACACGTTCAAGGACGGTCGGGGCTGGCAATCCGCTTTTGCCGGAGGGCTCCAAGGTTTGGTTCAAGCGGAGCACTTCAGAATCGGTGGAGCTGGAGCTGGAGCTGCGCTTCAGAATGCCCCTGGGCAGAGAGCCCTGGCCGTTAACCTGCTTGATCCTTTTCGGAGCCTGGGGAAAGGGCTCTTCGCTCTTCAAGCTGACGTCTGACGTCTTGTGGATGTGTCTCCTGGCTTTGGGCACAGGTGGCTTCCCTGCCTGCCTATGCAAGTCGTTCGGTTCTGCAGGAGCCTGCTGAGGCTCCTCTACCCTGCTGTGGTTTGTTACATCTACCTTGGACCGGTTTTCTACCGAATGCGGGTCTGCAAAACAAGATGCAAAGCGCACACAAAGCAAAGGGTAAAACACACTACATGTAAGGGACACACGTTAGTTGCAAAAAAGGGGGGGACGTGCAACTAAGTAAAAGCATTATTGTGTGTCTTGGGGAAGGATTTGCATGAACATGCTTGTTAAAGTTTTTAAAAAATGCAACGTAACAAGGCAGGACCAGTTTAAGCTTTAACTTGGGCCTGTAGCAGACTGAGAACCACTCCACTTCATGCTGTAGGTTTCTGTGTGACTGTGTGATTTTTATTTATTTTTTTATAGTCGCGCCATGCCATAAAAACCTCCCTATATACTGCAAAAAAAGGGAAACCTAACAATTCCTTGGGAACATGGAGTCATTAACACGACACCCAACATGTAAACGTATTTTGTCACACTTGGTCAAGTTTGCAGTGTCTCCACAGAAACAACACAGATTATGTATTTAGAAACCTTCACCTTTCTCCATCGCCATTCCATGTTCAGGCTGCTCATTTTTTGCATGATCTTCTAGTAGAGTTGATTCATTGAATGGGTTTTTCCTTTGCTAGAACAAAATAAGAATATTCCGCTTAACACTACAGTATTACTGGGGGAGAGAGAGCATGGGAAGGAAGGAAGGAAAATGGAAAACGTAAGAGCATGTTTTGCAGGTCACAGTAAGACAAACTATGGCTTACCAGGACCAGGTGAATGTGCAGGCTTCCAGAGAAGGGGTTTTTTACTCCAATGCTGTGCTGAGTTAACCCAAGTTTTGGCTTCACACACTGGCCGAAACCAGACATGGTTTAGCTCCCTCCCTGCTTACCATTTAGCCAAGAATAAACCTGTCTTTTTCTTCCTGTGGTTTTAAAAGCGTGCTAAGAAAATGGGTGGCAGCAGGAAATGGTCTTGTTGAAGAACCTTGAATTACTGTGAGTGGGACTTCCATGGACCCTGGGATATGAAAAATCTAAAACAACACAAAAATCTAAACTTACATATATAAAAAGGGGGCTTGAGGGGAGCATTTTTCCTGTAAGTGGAAACCATGGAAACCCATTACATTTTTTCTTTTAAAGGAGGGAGGAAATGGTTATCATCCAAGGGTTCCAGAAGTACAACCCGAGTTCCAAAATGAGGACAACAAAAGCTTGCTGCTTTTTAAAAGACGAGGGAATCCCTAAACACACACACACACACTACCAAGTGATGGGACCAGATCCATAATTTACAAATGGGCAGCTAAAAAAACAAAGCACAAGTAAATATTGAACACACAAATACGGACCCTTATAGTGAGATATATTTGACCATTTACAGATCACTGCATTGCTTGCATGCTAGTGAGGCCCTCCCACTTCAATAAATACCAAAGCGTGTGGGAACGTATCCAATATCTCCAGTCTAACCAGAACTTCCACGCTACAGCCTGTGACTGTTGCTCAGGTTTGACCATAGCTGCAGTCCACATTTCAGCTCCAAAGGTTGGTTGCTCCACTACTCTCTATGCAATTCATGTCAAAGTAATTTTACGGGGGGGGGGGATACCGATATAGTTTCAAAGGAAGCTTAAAATGAACTCCCAGTTGCTCATTTGTTGGAGGAAGGTACACTCCCCGCCTGATCCCATTAGCTGAAGAGTAGTGGGATCATGCATTGCTCCAGGATCAGGAAAGGGGTTGCATTGAAACCCCTGTTAAAATTGGGTGGGAAACGTGCTTTGGCAAGGGTTTCATTGAGAACCCCTTCCTAATCCTGGAGCAAGCCTCTTTGAAGCCACGCTTTCACCTGACGCCACTGTGATGTCACCTGACGCCACTGTGATGTCAGCTGGCAGGCGGGTAGCCCAAATTTGCCCTGGCAATTTAAGATCTGGCGGCTCATGGGGCGGTGTGAGGGGAGGTTCCCTACCCCTGATGTAGCTAATTCCTTTGGCAATAACAGAGATCATAGCGCCCGTATTGTTTTCTCATTGTCTTCCATCCAGGACACTGACAATGAACTCACCTTAGACGGTGAGGCAGCAGCTAACTTCCTTGCTTTTTCTTGAGGCGTCTCTAATGCGTCAGAGGCTGTACTGAACACTTTGGGGCTGTAAAAAAAGAAGAAGAACCACCCCATTACTTGGAGGCTGCTATGCCACACACTGAAACTAGTTTAAATATCAAGGCTCCCATGCAAAGAACTCTAGGCATCTGAAGCTATTTTAGTTTCAGCCATTATGACCTTGGAGCTGGGTGCACAGACCCTCAAGTTATCCCACCCGCAATGTATTTAATCGATTCTCCTCCCTCTCTCACACAATGTCACAGGATACCACATAATGCAAAAATGAGGAATCTGAAAGGCTTTAAGTGAAGGCAATCTGATTTGTCATTTGCAAAAAGTGTTTGCAAGGTTGCAAGTCAAGAATTATAGAGAAATTCCAACCACCTCCATATAAAAGTCTACTAGCTCTGTATTGAAAAATCTCACTTTTTCTACACATTACTGAGCAAGGCAGAGCTCCTGTGCTGAGGCAGTGCAGGGTTGTGTTATGTCCACATGAAGCAGCGATTCTGAACATTCACACACAAAACTTTGCAAGACAAAGAGGTCTTTAGAAAGCACTGCCTCCTGCCCCCATTTTCTATGTAAGTACCCAGAGCTCTAAACAAAAGAGACAGAAACACAATGTGTGAAGGGCTGTTACATGGAAGATGGAACAAGCTTGCTTTCTGTTGCTCCAGAGGGTAGGACCCGAACCAGTTGATTCAAATGCAAGGAAGGAGATTCCGGCTAAACATTGGGAAGAACTTTCTGATGGTAAGAGCAGTTCAACAGTGGAATGGAAGGTCATGTGGACTCTCCTTTCCTGGAGGTTTTAAAGCAACGGTTGGCTAAAGGGATTCTTTAGCTGTAATTCCTGCATTGTAGAAGGGTGGAATAGATGACTTTTGCAGTCCCTTCCAACTCTACAATTCTAATATTCGGTGAACAGAGCATGGTTGCAGAACAATACACAGGGCCTTGCCTCAGTGATAGCTCACATACCTTATACACAGAAGGCCCCAGGGACCATCCAAAACCCTGGAGAGCAGTTCCACTTCTCCGTTGATAATACTGAGCTAGATGGAGTCATGGCTACGTGAAAGGCAGCCCCCCACCCTGTGTTCCTAAAGCCAAAGATGGCTGTCAAACCCTCCCAACCAGATATAAGTATCCACTTGAGAAGTGACTGTGTTTGCAAAGGAGGGAACATGCCTGCATTCCAGGTGTGGTTTCTGAATCATCTTAGCACAAACACCCACAAAAAGGAAGCACCACAAAACGGGAAGCAAAGTAAATCCAAAAGGTGCAGAAGTCAAATTTATGGAAACCAGCTGTGTCAACTTGTTTTGGGCTGTCCTAGTGGTGCAGTGATAAAACTGCTAACATATTTGCAAAGCTAAGCAGGGTCTGGTATGGTTGCAAATTGGATGGGAGATCACATGTTGAGATTACCGCATTGCAGGGGGTTGGAACCTTGGGGTCCTTTCCAACTCTATGAACAGACAACTCTTTTTCATGAATATCCATTATAGTTACTTTAATTAACCTCCACCCAAACACTTCTGATGTTTTCCTACATTTATCCTGGCAAGTGGTATTTACTGTGGCTTATAGTACAATTTGACAGCTGCACCCAGGAAAATTCCGCCACAGTTGACAGATGGAGCCAAACACCTTTCTTCCACGCCTGTGCCATCTCCAAGCTTGGCTACCATAAGGGGACAGTCCTTGAAGTTTCATTTAGGATGATGTAGGAGATGGGAAGCAGGGCTGGTTGCAGATAGGGAACCAGAAGGAAAATCATACAAAAAACAACTGCTCTGATTGCTTCCATCTGACCAGCTTGGGTTGCTATGTACTATGAAAGTCTGGAAGAGAAGGGGGCCTCAGGTCACTCACACCCTTCAAAATAATAGCAACAACACTTTCAGCAACGTGAATTTCCATTGTCAGCTTTGTGTGACACACCTAAAGGACTTCTCACTTAAAGTACACTTCTCTCTTCCCACCCACAAAAAGGTAGGTAAATACTACTCTGGAGAAAAGGAACAGTTCATGAAATTGACAGCCCTTCCCTCACTTTAAACAAGGGCGATTTTCATTTATTGCAGTTCACATCTGAGGCACATTCCTTTCTAATCCAGAATGTCTATAGGTGTGGATGGGGCTAACATTTGCTCTAATAAAAAGGGGAGGGGGAAACTGTTCAGTGTGTGAACCGATGAGGCATTACCCATCATGCCACATATAACAAATAATTCTAACAGGCCACTAAAAAATTAATATCTACAAGAGGAATATAAAGGGGCCGTTGTAGGTTTACCAAATGATGCTGATACTCGCCATTAGCATCGAGACAACACGGTTTCTGACTACAGTATTTTGCTTTCTGATACTCTCCCAAATAGATTCCGTCTTTTAGAAGCTAGCCATCAGAGGCAACTACAATAGTCCCCACAACACAATTCTATTTGCTGAACAATACTGATATATCACGACAACAACTATTTATGTCACTCAACTAGGTTCCCTGAGACACACTGAAAATTGTTCTCTAGGTAAAGTTAAAATATACAGTTAATTAAGTCACAATGCTGAAGGCTGCATTTTCTGAATCAGTTCAACTGACCAACTAGTTTATACAACAACAATAACAACAACAAAGTTATCAATACGTTTCTCTGAGTGTCTAACCTTTCATCAGATTTCGATTCCACCTCTGCCTCTTTTATGGCACCCAGCAATTCTGGAGGCGTGAAAACTTCTTTATTGACATTGTTCACCCAGCTGCTCTTTGTCTTGTCTGACTTACTTTGACTCAGTTCTGCTGAAACAAACAGGGGAAAGGTTATCTTGCATTTTCTCTGTAAATGCTCAAAACTACGGATACCAAGGAGTTTTTAAATTGGCACGCAATTAAGTACCCACCTTCCAGCCTATTCAAGATTCTAAGTCTTAAAAGGCATTTCTATAGTTTTGTAACTCCTGGGGTTTTTAAATAACTGGTCTATTTTTTAACATGCGAAATATGCTTTATAAGCACAAGCCATTGGAACAAACCCTGTTATGATAAATGGGATTCATGAAAGAGTTACAAATGTCATAGAAATCCACATTAAGTAGACCTTAGACCCTCAACGCAAGTCATTCCCACAAGTACAACAGCACCTTTGAATTTCCAGACATCTAAAAACAAGAAGAGCCTTGCTGAAGGATAATTGAATTCCACTTTCTACAGCAGCCAAGCAAAACGGCGTACTGTATTGGAGCATTGGGGCAGGAGGAGCCATGGCTAAACATGTCTTTCGCAAGGGCTCGTCTCCATGAATTGGCCTAGTGTATTTTTTAAAATGGCTGCCATCACCACCTGAGGCAATGATTTCCCTAAATAACTCTACGTGGTGCTGCGAATAAGCATTTTGAGATACTTGGAACCTCTGCCGTGGGCCGTGGGATCAAGAGCCACAGAGCGGCTGCTCCCCTGGCCTCTCAGGAAGAACATTGCAGCAAGGCGGGTGAGGAGATAATCCAGGCTCCATCCATCTGTCGGCCAGAGAAAGGAGGAGCTACAAAGTGCTTCCTTCCTCCCTCCCTTCCAGAAAGAACACTGGACCCCAACTGCCATTTTGCACCAGATTTGTCAAGCGTGCTGCAGGGAAGCATCCCTTGACCTGACCCAGCAGCCAAGGGGCTACAGTCCGCAGAGGGCCTTCTCGGTAGTGGCACCCTCCCTGTGGAACGCGCTCCCGTCAGATGTCAAGGAGATAAAGGATTCCATAACTTTTAGAAGACATCTGAAGGCAGCTCTGTACCGGAGGCTTTTAATGCTTGATGTTTTTATTATGTTTTTAGGTATGCTGTAAGTTGCCCAGAGTGGCTGGGGAAACCCAGCCAGATGGGCGGCGTATATATAAAATAAAATTGTTATTACTGGTTTGTGTGGGCTTGGAGTGAGTGAGTGTGTGTGGATTTTGTATGGTGCTCAGTTAACTGCCCTTCATCCGAAGGTCCCAGAGCGGCCCACGACAATTGAAAAAGTTTAGAACAACCAATGACATAGAAACAGGGTGGGTCGTAAGAAATCTATGTACTCTTGTTGTCTGCCATAAGCTACCTTGATGGTCATTTGATCAAAAGTAATAATGAAAGGTGAGGAGATATAAATCTTCTAAATAAAATTAAAAGATCCTAGAGTTTCAAGCAAAACAAAGGTTGCCAATAACTGTGCAGGTATATGATTTTTTATTTTGTTTTTGGAACGCTTCAAATCGTTTTCCAACATTTTAATATTTTTTATTTTATTTTAAATTGTGGCGTTCTACCATTTTGATGTTTGCCTCCCTGGTTTCCTTTGGGAGGAAGGGTGGGGTACAGATTCAATAGAGGATAAACAACATTTTCGGGCCCACAAATACAGCAACCTATTTTACTGGATATTAGATAATGTTTCCTTCAAGACTAATTACAGCAGAGAGGCTTGAAGGCTGTGGCCACCAGAGAAGGCCTCTGCAGATGTGCCCCACAGGTACCATGTTGGCAACTCTGGGAAGAAACTCTTTTTTTTAAAAAAAAAAAGTTTTTATTTATACTTTTCAAATTTATACATTTCATTAATTTTACAATCATTTTAACATTTCAACATTTGACTTCCTTCCTCCTCTTTGTGCGGTTCCTTAAATTTATTTTTTAATATCTTCTGCATATCCAAATTCATTTAATTTGCTCATTGAATTATCTACTTTAAATATATACTCCTATGAAACTGCAGGTTATTACAATAATCCTGCCAATGTTTTTATCTGTAAATATTCAATAAACCATTTCCATTCTTTTATAAATAGTTTGTTATCTTGATTTCTTATTCTTCCAGTAAGTTTCGCCATTTCTGCATATTCCATAAGATTTAGTATCCATTCTCCCTGTTGGGTACTAATTGGTTAGCGGACACAACAATACGATAATCTTTATTGTCCCACACAGAACAACGAAATGGGGGGGGGGGGAATCTACGTAAGACATTCAAAACCAACAAGCCTGCTATCCGAGCTATCCCAACCTTGCTTGCTGGGACTTCTGCTTCTTTCCGACTGGAAAGTAATTCTCAGTTAGGATCTCAGTCAACTATGTATTAATTAGATTTTTTTTAAAAAGCCACCCCAATATAAGCTTCACATTTTAAAGAAATCATAAGGCAGTTAAGATGATTAGACAAGATGGCGTCCAACATACTGTGCAATTCTGTGATTCTACAGTTTTGTTCTTGATTGAAGCTCTACACAGAGACCCAAGTACCTTTCTTCACTTCAAAACAGCTCTCTTATTTTTATTATTTTTTAAGTCAACACTGCATACCTGTTGGAAACGGCTTCCTCCTCATGGATGCCCGAATGATGTCTGCTCCGTGAATTTTCTCTCTATGCCTCTTGGACTTGGCTTCGTAAAACCACTGCCCGCTCATGTTCTTAACTTGGATCTCATCTTTAACTTTTTCACTTAAATGCCTGGGGGGGAGGGGAGGAAGGGGTGGGAAAATTATTACACATGCTTTGCAGCGAAGGAAGCTTGACCGTACTGTCTTGGAAGCTATCTGACCAGACAAGGAACACACACAATTTTTTATCTTAGATAATTTTCTTCTCATCAGATTGTGGTGATGGTTTTTAAAGCCCGTATGAAAATTCGACAACATTTTAGTACCAATATACATCATTTATTTATTTATGTATGTATGTATACTATACAGTGGTCTTTGGGACGCGGGTGGCACTGTGGGTAAAACCTCAGTGCCTAGGACTTGCCGATCGTATGGTCGGCGGTTCGAATCCCCGCGGCGGGGTGAGCTCCCGTCGTTCGGTCCCAGCTCCTGCCCATCTAGCAGTTCGAAAGCACCCCTAAGTGCAAGTAGATAAATAGGTACCGCTTTATAGCGGGAAGGTAAACGGCGTTTCCGTGTGCTGCGCTGGTGCTGGCTCGCCAGATGCAGCTTAGTCACGCTGGCCACGTGACCCGGAAGTGTCTTCGGACGGCGCTGGCTTCCGGCCTCTTAAGCGAGATGGGCACACAACCCCAGAGTCGGTCACGACTGGCCCGTACGGGCAGGGGTACCTTTACCTTTACCTTACTATACAGTGGTACCTCTGGATACGAACGAGATCTGTTCCGGAGCCCCGTTCGCATCCTGAAGTAAACGTAAGACACGACTCCGCATCTGCGTGTGCGCAGGTCGCGTTTCGGCGCTTCCGCGCATACGCATGACATCATTTTGAGCATCTGCGTATGCATGAGCAGCGAAACCCAGAAGTAAGGCGCTCCATTACTTCCAGGTCGCTGCGCAACCCGAAAATACTTCAACCCGAGGTATGACTGTGCACTTTCATTTTTTAAAAAAACAAAACACCAATGTACATAGGCAGCATACAACATCATCAGAATAAAATCAGCAGAAAGTATCCATGAAAACATTAATAAAACTAAATATATACTGATTGTGTACAAAGAGAAAACTTATATTGTGAAGGCCTGCGTAGACAATATAGTTTTCAAAAGACATCTAGAAGAAGGGAGGGATAGTTCTTAGCTGAATCTCTACTGGCAGGGAAAACAGCCCCCAAGAGAAGGCCAAGTGAAATTCAGGGATGTATGGAACTAACAGACGTTCCCCATTAAAGGATCTCAAGAGGTAATTTGGCTTAACACAACACATTTTTTTGCAAAGCAACAGTATGACGCATCTTTGTATTTTCTTTCCACGAATACACGCATTGTTATGCACACTGTGCCGCAATATATGCATTTTTGGTACACATTCCTGTGTGGTGTCTTTATGAGGTACGGTTTATTTACACATGTATACAACCTGAGCCTCTCTGCTCAAAGCACTGCACCCCAAGACGGTCCTGCTCCTCCGACTGCTGCCACCTTGGATCCAAAAAGAAATGAAGCATATCTGAAGGAGGGTCTCCACCCTCATCTTTCAGCCCAGACACTGAGGTCCAGCACCGAGGGCCTTCTGGCAGTTCCCTCACTGTGAGAAGCGAAGTTACAGGGAACCAGGCAGAGGACCTTCTCAGTGGTGGCACCTGCCCTGTGGAACACCCTCCCACCAGATGTCAAAGAGAAGAACAACTACCAGACTTTTAGAAGACATCTGAAGGCAGCCCTGTTTAGGGAAGCGTTTAATGTTTGATGCATTACTGTATTGTAATATTTTGTTGGAAGCCACCCAAAGTGGCTGGGGAAGCCCAGCCAGATGGGCGAGGTATAAATGATAAATTGTTGTTGTTGTTGTTGTTGTTGTTGTTGTTGTTGTTGTTGTTGTTGTTGTTATGCAGAGGCTCAGCTTGCTGTGTTTAACACTTTTTCTCTGCTGTCTCTCCAGTGGAAGAAGGGGCTGATACTCATCTGCCACCCGCCACAGAGCATCCGCTTTGTTAATCGCTCATTACCTTCCTTTCGTTCTCCACAATGGCTCTACTCCCAGGAAATTTCATGAGCATGGAAAAAACGGGTTTGGCTTGTGTTTCGACACTGCTAAATTCAGCGTACGGCAGCCCATCTCAATGCTCCAAGCATTGATTAAACTCCGAGACCCAGGAATTTAGGGGGAGGATCTGGAACCCAGGAATTGAGGGGGTTTCTAGGCACCCACAAACTCATAGCAATACTTGGGAGTGACCTTTCAAGCATATGTACTCTCTCAAGCCAGCCCAGCCCTCCTCACTTGCAGTTATGAAGCACCACTTTGAATCAATGTGACTGGTCATAAGGGAGTTAGAATTCCAGCTTCTGTAACACATGACTTGTCTTCCTTTGTTATTCTAGTTTAGGGGCTTTAAGTATCCGACACAGAAAGGGATTCCTAACTGTTCAGCTCTGTCTCCTGCGTCACTGTTTTTATAAATCAATGGTTGCTTTTATGGAGCGCGAGGACACCACATCATAAAAACACCAGTAGATCTATATTCTTTTTTACAACGGCACAGAGCATATAAAACATCTTTACCCTGGCCTTTGACCCCTGAGATGTGTTGTATTCAGGGCCCACCCTATTCCTGCAATTGCAACCTTTTCCCCCCCCTGCAAGGGTTATGAACTGGGGGGGGCCAATGTTATGTACTGAAGTTTTCACCCTGGGCCAGCAGGGGGATACTGTAGATACTTTTCACTCAGGTCCGCATATGCAAATAAGGGATCGAAAGTGACGTTCAGTGATTGGATAGTTACAGAAAATGGTTACTGTTGCGTTGTAATGGAGCTCTATATAAGCAGGCTGGCTGAACCCTTCAGTTCAGTTCTGTTCTGGCCTGTGAATAAACAAGAGCTGTTTGAAGAATCGCTGTGTCGTCTGATATGTTCACCCACAACTTAACAGCCACTGTGTGTGTGGTGAGGGGGATGGGGAACAGAAGAATTTTTTCATAGAGTCATAGACTTGCAGAGTTGGAAGGGACCCTGAGGATCATATAACACAACCCCGCCTCCCCCCCCGGCAATGCGGGAATATGTAGCTGGGAATCGAACCTGCAACCCTGGCTTTATCAGCACCAGGCTCTAACCAACTGAGCTATCCAAGCGGATTACCGTATTTTCCCATGTATAAGACAAGGTTTCCCCCCTAAAAAATAATGTCAAAAATTAGGGGGTGTCTTATACACAGATACATCCCCCCATTTTCTTAAATCTGAGTCCCCCAAAATAGGGGGCATCTTATACATGGGGTCGTCTTATAGACAGAAAAATACGGTATTTTCTTGGTTTGAGAATGCCACTAGGACAATCTGAATTGCTTTCAATAGAAAGGCACTGATTTGGGTAATAATGCATCTGAAAATGCCTGATTCACTTCCTTTGGCTCCAGGTTCTCTTGCTGACTGACAAGAGGGTGCAGTGCAGGTAGTCAACTCAAGGATGAGTCACTCAGAGCCAAACTGCTTGTGGCGTTAAGTACCAAAGGGGAGGGGCTGGTTTTTTTATTTTTCATTGCGGAAGGGCTGGTTAATTATGGGATCAGAGCAATAATGAAGAGTGATTTTAATCCTGTGTAAAAGCTAGCAAAAGCACTGAGGTTAGTGCTTGATGGGCTTTATTAGGTAGGTGAGAGAACATAATGAACTATATTTTATCTTCCTACAGACCCACATATGTGGGTTAACAGACAGAAGAATCAGCTTACCGCTTGTGTTTAAAAGCGCAGGGTTTAAATCGCTTTTTAGACAGCTTAACACAAGAAGTAGCCATTAGGCTACTCTTCCTGTGTTAACCCCGTTTATCAAAGAAACAGGCTACAGCAGGCATAGGCAAACTCGGCCCTCCAGATGTTTTGGGACTACAACTCCCATCATCCCTAGCTAACAGGACCAGTGGTCAGGGATGATGGGAACTGTAGTCTCAAAATATCTGGGTGGTGGGGCTATTGCAATGATCCTGGAACCATGGAGTTGTCTTTAAAGAAAGTTCAGAGCTTGCAACTGGTACATAATGCAGCAAAGAAGAAAGCTGGCCCTCGCCCCACAAGTTTTCAGCTTCGCTGGGTGCCCATTACTTTCCAAGTTCAAATAACAGTGCTGGCACTGACCCTCTGAGATCCTTAAATGTCTGGGGAGCTACCTAAAGGACTAGGGGGAAAGTATTCCAACATCTGACACACACCCCTTCTGCAAGATCTGAAACTGTCAAACCCAGGAAATGTTTCACCAACTCATTTGCTGTTTGTGTAGAGACTAAACTCTGAGAGGCCGTATTCTTGGGAGGTGCAGATTCAGTGAATTATCAGGACTTGTTGACACAATCATTTAAGCCAGCGATAGCAGCCCTTTAAGCAAACCCATTGCCGAAGTAACAATCTAAAAGTAAATATTTGATTCTAAATGCACACCACACCCTGCCTTATCAGCACAAAAAGCCACTGACATAATTTTACAAGTACCTCCCCACCAGCAAGGATGCAACTAAAGAAACATAAAGCCCTGTATTTTTCAAGCCCCTGTAGATCACATGAAGGGATGTTATACATTTTCCCTCATACAGTAATGTTGTACTCATGGCAGCTGAGAACAATGTGTCTAACTTCCGGAGGTTGTGGGTCAGTGTGCCCTAAGGGCCAGCCTGTTGGGTCCCCAGATGTTGTTGGACTACAAATCCCACCATCCCTGACCTGCTAACTAGGGATGATGGGAGTTGTAGTCCAACAACACCTCAAGATTGAGAAAGGCTGCCCTAAGCAGATCACTGTTGCTCCTGCTTTGGAGATATTGTGACTCAGCAGAATTGATTAGGAAGGATTTTATGATCCTGAGGCTCAAAGCAGAGAATACGTTTTCTTTGTATCTGCCCCTTTCCATACTCATGTGCCTCTCAAAGGATTTTTCTAGATCTCTTCTCCTTTCACACACAACCTGTACTTTTTATCTCCTCCCCGCCCAAACTGCCAGCTTCCTCCATCCGTCCTCCCTGGTCCTTTGACACTCACTTCTTCCTCCTTTTAGCCACATTCTTCTCTTAT